GAAGGTCGGAGAGCTATGTGGGTAAGTTGATTCCCTCACTTGGCCCGCAGCTAAACGATCGGCAAAGAACTTGTCGATCGCAAGTACTTGTTCACGAGGCAGTGGCCACTGCTTCATGACACAGTACTTCGAGCCTGGTTTAAGCTCGACCTCGTGTCGAGTACCTTTATCCTTCGGTAATTCGCACGGAACAGTTTCAGGGAATACATCCTTAAATTCAACCAAATCTTCATAGAGAGGATTTGTCTTGAGCGATTCCCACGATTGGGAGTCATATCGCTCAATTCGTGTCTTTTCATCTAGGACACTTTCGTCCATCGATGAACTACTGAGAACTCTCTCGTTCTCAGTAAACACTGTTGCTGACCTTATGTCGGCTACACACTCGTCGTCAGCGACGAGTACGCAGATCTGCTTGACTTTGCCACTACGCAGATCACGCAAGAATCTTTTACGTTCGAGTGTTGGCAACTGAGTGATCTCCGAAGTCAACTTCGGAGGCGCAATCAGATCAAGTGTATAAGCGCTACACTTGATCCGTTATTGACTATGACATTCAATGTCTTTGTAGTTTCCTGGGGACTTATTCCCTCAGGCCTCGAAGGACTTATTCCTTCGGCTTCCCGGGAACTTATTCCTTCGATTTTCATGGACCTTATTTCCACCGTATTTGTAATATCGGGACTTATTCCCTTAACTTCGTCTAGCTGTGGCTGCGCAACCACAGCGATATCCTCTACGAAAGACTCTCCAGTCGATCTAGGATTATCGTTTCGCTAAACCTGAGCGATCGATTGTTTATCTTCTAGATGTTCCCCGCTAGAGATACATCTTTGTCCCGGTCCACTCGACTTATTCGAGTGGTGGACCTTCGGCGCAGCCTGTGGTTTCTCACAGCCGCCGGAACTTTGCTCCGAAGTGTAACCGCTTGTCACACTAAGGTTTTGTGCAGTCGTACTAACGACCGTACCACAAGTGAGGCCATCGCACTCACTCATAGTACATCCACACGCTTTGGAAGCTCCAAAACGTTCATCAGATGGCCATCTGATGAACAAGCGGCAGGCATCGTTACTGTTCGATGTTGCCAGTTTACCCGTGGTTCGTACCTTCTGAGCCACGGTATTCCAAGGATGACATCAAATTTGTCATCCAAATCCAATACGATAAAGTCATCGTCATATTGGGTATCTTCTAGCGTATAGTGGATCTTCACTATACGCTTCATGACGGTTACGGATGCGCCTGTCGCAAGACGTACCGTCATCCTCGTAGGAGGTGTGTCACATTCACTGAACTTAAAGTGACCATCTTCTAGCGATTGGCGTTGCACAAAATTGTTGGACGCCCCACAATCGACTAGAGCTCGAAGGAACAACTTATTCGTCACTTCGAGTTTCAAGGTAATGAGTGAGACCTCATTACCTAGAGCAGCAACGCACAACGTTTGTGTGTTGGGAGCAACCTTCATCAAGAGGCCCACAAATTCTATTGACGTTGCTGGACCAGTAGGGTGCTCCGCACCTAATGATCCTGTCCGTTTTCTGACGGTCCATCCCGTTGTTGCGTCTTTGCACCAACAGAGGACCCTCGTCCCTGCCCCTTTCTCATGGGTGGACGGTCACTACGCCCAGTGTCGCGAGACACTGGACTAGGGGCACTACACTCGTAAGCGTAGTGTCCTGTCTTTTGACATCTGTTGCATCTCTGCAACTTCTTGTAGCCTGTAGAGCGAGCCTTCTCGCTCTCTACATAACAGAGTTCCATCGGCTCTGGACCTCCGTTGTCATATCGTCTCGGTTGACGATATGATGTCGAGCTAGCGCGAGCCTGTCTCAGACTGAAGTCTTCCTGCTCCGCAATGGAAATGGCTTGTTCTAGTGAATCTAGTTCAAGCCGGAACAGGTGAGTCTTGACGGGACCATCCGCAAGACCCTGCATGAACACCGAAACCAACGTGTGTTCATCCACCGGATTGGAACTTATACAACTCGTAAGATGGCGTATATGTTGTGCGTAAGCGTGCATATCACGCTTACCCTGCTTGAGCTTCAAGAGTTCGGTTCGAGCTCTGAACTCAGCTCTAGGCGGTTCAAACGTTTGTCTGAGCCGCGACTTGAAGACTTCCAACGACCCAAACGCATATGGGTCGTGCAACTTGAGCCCCAGTGCCCAAGTCTTGGCACGTCCTGCCAGATTTGACTGGGCAAATGCAACTTGCATATCCCCGTCGTCGATGCGACGCGCCCTTGTGGCGTCGTCTAATTCGACGAACCATCTCAATAGGGAGTCCTCTTTGACTCCCCTGTACTTGGAGATGTCAATCTTCAAGGTTTCGGGTCGACGCGAGTGCATCGACCCACCAGCAGCAGCCTGCTGCTGTCTCAACAGTTCAAACTGTTGAGCACCCTGTTCTCTCAACAACTCTGCTTGTTGAGAACCTTGTTGGTGAAGCAAGGCTACTTTCTCGCGTTCTGCGTCAAGTTCATTTTGAATGAACTTGGCGATAGTAGCATGTTGGGCATCTCTATTGAGAGCCTCTAGCATGACGCTAACAGCATGGATGCCCATGGTTGAACCCATCCGCTCAACCGCATCCCATTCGACATCGCTCAAATGGGAGTAGCCGTCACGCGTAGCGTGAAAGCTTTGGTCATCTTCATCATCTGACATGTTCAGGTTAGATGTGAACGTGGTCCTTGGACGGACTACGAAGTGCTACCAGGTGTAACGGGGCACCCTGAAGCTTGTACTGGTGACAGTACAAGCTACTTATTCTGATGACAGAATAAGGCGGTGCCTCGTAACTTCACGTACACTCGTACGTGCAGAGGAAGACGGTAAGAAGAAGCGAGTACTTGGTTAAAGTAAGAAGTAGAACTGTATTTATAATAGTTAATGTCTGCAATAAATCACTATTTATCTTCATTTAACTATGTCTAAATACAAATGTGTAAATCAACTATCTGCTCACCACTCATTGCGTGCGTCTGTCGTGGCGCGTCTTCGTTGGTTGATACAATGGCCTATATCAACCAATTAGGAACTACTCGTAAGTGCTGCAGAATATTTGTCCTTATGACAATATTCTGAGAATATAACTCTTTTAGTTATATTCTATTAACAATTTCTTATAAATTGTTATGTAACGATTCACCCCGTTACAGATGTGCACAAAAGTTACTTGATGTATTAGTCAAATGCACTATTACCCAGACCATAATGGTGAGCTCAGCGTTGTATAGAACCAGGAAGCTAGCGGGGTTTTTCTTGTCAAAGCTTAATCATTCCCTTTCTTAAATTGCAGTTTCAAGCGCACCTGCCCTTACGACTCCTGCCCCGTCTCGCTTATGCACTTCTACATTGTGGTAGCCTCCCTCTGAACAAGCGTTTCGACACTTCCGGCTTCGAGACCATAACTGAACATTTAATTCCTTTTTTTCTCAGCTATCCACGTCGATTAATGGTGGTTTGAAAAGTAGATTTTGCCTTGATCATTTCGAGTTCCTATGTAGAATTCAGATTGTTGATTCATCATATTAAGTTTTGAATATAAACATTTATGGCCACACACTGCAATATGTAACTATTCGTCAACCTTCCTATTCTCACATCAAAGAAAGATACTGGCGATGCAATGAGAAATCTTTTGTTTATTCTTACATTTGTGGTATCAGATTGCTCTAATTTTGGCAATGGTGACTTTCTCGATGTGTTCTTATCAGCATTATTTTGTACCATTTCCAGGATACGTATGAATTACAAATTATGGCACCCAGAGTGAGCTGGCACGATGATCTACATGTGAAACATCGACAGATTTTGCATCTACACGCCCTTGTCAAGTAGATCTATCTAGAGCACTGCGAATAATGCTCGAAATGGTGTGTATATAGGTTTCAACTTCAGGCGAGTATCGAAGGTAGTTATCGAACGCCGTCGAGATCCGTGTACTTTTAATGCTTGAACGTATTGCGGTACATGTGGGCACAAGTAAAGTACTTCGTTGCGTGTTTAAAGGCTTTGAAGGATGTTAGATTGTCGTCCTTTAGGAGTAGCAATATCACGTAGTCGCCAGGAAAAGATCTACAACTGGACTCGTTAACTCAAAGCGGTGTCCTGACTTATGTGTTGTTCCCATTGCATAAACTGCGCGGTGACGCACGCTAGTAAGTTCGGCACTGATGCGAGTACGTTATGAGCACGGGGGTGTTCAGAAATTCTATAGACATGCTTGTCGGAATGAACAATACCGTTAAACGACATGCCCACGGCCAAAGTTACCATCGAAATGATATGTCGTTGGACTTATTTATTTCTATTATTTAGTGTTCCTATTGTATTGTATCCGCTTGTAGAACTGCACTTATACGTTACGAAAGCCTGCACTCAGTGAGTTTGCTGTACCTGTGCGTACTGATCGTGCTTGGTACAAGAGTCGATGAAGCGACAACACAAACAGCACGCGTACATTGTCTACATGCAATTATCTTGAAATTCATTCCGCCTTTGAGTCGGTCAAATCACCCCACCGATTACAAGTTTCCACCAAATACACCAAAGCTCACATTAGCTGCGCAGACTAGTGCTCACTTCCCGAAATTGTCACACGCATGTCCAAAAATGGTGGGGGTGTCAGCCTCGGCATGAATGTCGCGAAGGGCACTGTCGGCATAAAATCGCCAAACTAATTGGACGCTGCGACCGAACTTTGCTGCTTACGCATAAACCGTATCCTAAACCCCCCTTTGAAAATTCCATTTAGAGTCAGGTGACAGCAGGCTACACTTTTACCCACCACGAACCCATCAACGATGACCACCCATCCTATTCTCAAAAGTATCCTGTAAATAGACGAGCCTGCTGCCATCGCACATCATTTCGTCCGTCACTTCCCTGATTTATGCGTCTAGGGAGATCAGCCAGTCAGTCCTCCATCTCCTAGACTTTGGACCCGCTAATCTGTAGCCATTGACACGAACCCGTGCGCGTGAGGGCCAATGCAAGTGACGACCCAAGCGGCAGCAAATGTGCTGCTAACCAGTGTCACGGTCTACTTTACGCTCTTCTTAGTACTGATTCTAGTATACGAGGTGCTACGGCCGCGTTTAGCGCATGTATACGCCCCCGAGAACCTCGCGGACTTTCCCCAGTCGAAACAGCGCAAGTTCTTGAGCTGGGTACCGTTTATGTGGAGTATTGACGAGTCCGACGTGGCTGAAAAGTGCGGCCTGGACGCCTGGGTCCTGCTGCGGTTCATGCAGATGGGACGGAAGGTGGCGCTGCTGTGTGTTTTGTGCTCTCTCGCCCTCTTTCCCATGTATTTCTGTACAGCAGCTGTGATTGAAGCTCAGGAACAAGAGAAGCACCATCATGTCCTGAGTCAGCTGCTACCTGCATCTAGTGGAGTTTCCAATGCTTCCACTGTGGCCATTGCATCCATGATCATGCTCATGCTCGAAGAACGACCGGATAGCAAAAACAGTGCACCACACAGTCTCTTGGCTGACGGCAAGCTGAAACTGGATGTGGTGGACCGACTCACGATCGCCAACGTTGGCAAAGACGACTGGAGACTCTATTTCACAGTCTTTGTTGCCTACATTCTCAGTTGCTACGTCATGCGACTGCTGCTAAACGAGTATACCGTATACCGTAAACGCCGCCACGAGTTCCTCATGCGCAAGCACCCGCAGCAGTATAGCGTCGTGATCTCGGACCTTCCTCAGGCCCAACGTCGTCCTCAGACGCTACAGGCGTATTTGGAGTTCCTGTTTCCCGATTCAGTTCACTCGGTGTACATTGGTGTCGAGTGTGCAGCATTGGAGAAAGTACTTGAGAAACGCCGGATGATTGTGTATCACCTGTACGCGGCGAATGTCCAGCTCACAAAGGCAAAAACCAAGGCTGGGGACTATGGTGTGATCCAACGACCGAAAGAGTGCATTGGTCGTCGCTTCTTTGGACTATGCGGTGGCGGCAAGAAAGTTGATGCTGTCGACTACTACTCGGAGAAATTGCAGAAGGTTGAGGCCGAAATAGTTCGTGTTCGGAACGAGATTCTTCAGTGCCAGTCAGCAGAAAAAGACCAAGAGATCACTCGTGGGAAACAGTACGGCTCAAAAAGCGCAGCAGCGTCACGAAGGTTTTCTTCGCTGACGGAACTGACAGAGAAGCTTCGTGCAACGAAGAGTTCGATGCGGGGAGAGGAATCGTTGCCGTTGCTACATGTAAGCATGCCGATGCCCAAGCGACCTAATGTGATGCGCAGCAGTGCGTTTGTAAGTTTCCGAAGCATACGTTCTGCTCAAGCAGCGCAACAACTCCTTCAGGTAGAGAATCCTCGTTGCATGCTTGTTCTCCCAGCGCCCAACATTTGTGACGTTCAGTGGGAAAACTTTGGTCTACCGCACAAGCTTAAAGCAAAATGGAAACTCGTCTCCATGGGAGTATCGCTCTTGATTGGGTGCTTCTGGACAGTACCAACAGCTTTTGTCGCGTCAATGGCTAGTGTCGACGAGCTCCGCCATCTTTTTCCATGGCTTGGTGGCCTTATGGAGAAAAACTCGTGGTTGCTCATTGTTTTGCAGCAAACTGCACCACTGGTATACTCAGCGATGAATGGACTTGCGAACGTGATTTTTAGACAACTGTCTACTCAGGAGGGTCATTTGTCGATCTCGGAAGTGGAAGCTAGTCGGTTCACAAAGCTATGCTTCTTTCAAGCTTTCCAAATGTTCTTCGTATCGGCGCTAGCGGGATCCATTATCACGGAGTTTATGCTGATTTTGGACCAGCCACGCCTGCTATTCTTCTTCTTGGGCAACACGATTGCGAACCAGTCCATGATGTTCATTACCTTCATCATCACGCAGTTGTGCGTAAATACGTCTCTTTTCCTGCTGCGTGTATCGCCCTTAGTGATCTCTGCGGCATACCGTGTCTTGGCTCCCATGCATGCCAAGTTACCTCGGCCCCGAGAATGGATGGGTCTGTGCCCTATCAACTTTCGGACTGACCTCGATACGCCGATGAATCTGGCGCAGCAATATCTCGTCTTCTTATTCGTCGTGGTGTTTGCCCCCATCGCACCACTTGTGGGCTACTTTGGTGCATTGTTCTTCGTGGTGTCCGAGCTGTCGTACAAGCGATGCTTATTTTTTGTTAACAGCTCGCATTGGGCAGCAAACAATTCGATGGGTGTGTATTGGCCACCGCTCTACTCATTTGTGATCGGTGCGCTGATCATCGGCCAGTGCACGCTGATTGGACTGCTATCGTTGAAGTCGGGTGGATACGGACCGATCGGGCTTACCACCATGCTTCCTTTCATCACGCTTGCCTTTCATTGGTACGCAGTTGACCTATCTCGTCTGAATCGGGCTGCTGAGAATCTACCGCTTGACCAGTGTTGCGACGTCGATGAGGAGCGGAAGGATGATTCCTTTGATTTCCTGAATGGTATCTATCGTCAGCCAGCCATGATTGAAGCATTTAGCCCGGCTTTTGTCCGGGGCCACGAATTTGAAAGCGGCACGAGTGCTGCTATTGACGCCACTTACGTCCAGGGGGACGCCGTGGAACCGCAAGTCGAACCGCTGGACAAGCCTGTAAAGCCTCTAAACCAGCAAACCCGTTTAGCTGAGCTGAACAATGATAAGAAGGGCGAAAACAAGGGGACGGAATGAGCTAGACGATGCGCCATGATGCAGACAAAGATATCCTCGTTATTGTCGTCGATGTGACAGCATCGAGGATTCTTGCATCTTGCCGCTTAAAGACTATGTTGGTCATCGAGGGTTCATGCGTCTTGCCGCTTAGAGACTTTGTTGGTACACCTTCCTCGTACCGATAGAATAGGATATCACTCTTTTCCTCTGATGCTGCTTTTTTTGCTGCATGGTGGAATTAGCGCACGAATCGCTGACACCAAGCATCCAACGCTATAAACGGCATTCATAGGCACTTGCGTGTGCCAACACCAGCCGAGAGACATCGTTTAATAAATTCAGTCTTCAGCTCTCTGTACGCATCATCGCCATCAATGCTTTCAAAAACCTACGAGACCACAAATGACACATAGCACTCCATTTGCTCTCGCCAATCATTTTCTTCTGATTCATTCTTATAGCTGAATGGCGCTTAGCTACTCCGCTCTTTTCTCCCGCAACCGTCCAGTCGTAATCTTGTCATTTGAGCTTCTCGTGTCTCCCACGTCTCTCCTCACTGCTACTGCTCTATTGAAAGTCTGCCGCGTCATAAATACCAGGCAGCATCGTGTTCACCTTCTCAGCAATGGCCATTACAATGCCGCTAGACACACAAATCACCACCACCGTCAGTCCCGTATACCCATGTAATAAATGAGCAAGACCCAAAGAGTCGACCCACCTTCTGTAGGCCGTGATGCCCTTTGATTTGAGCCAGAACCAAAACGCGTCGCAATGGGCTGCACAGTCAATGACCCCGTCGTCATTGTCATCCGAATTCTCCTGTTAAGGATAAACAAACAAACAGCCAATCAACAGTTAGCAATAAACCGATGCACTGAATTGCTGTTTTCCGACTATTTCGCCTCCTTCCTAACGCCGGTCGTACCTTGAGCATGAGGAACTTGCCAATGAGTTGAAACGTGTTCGTCACGGCCTCGTCCCCGTCTTCGGACGCCTCACTGAGCTTTGTCACTGCCGCCTTTCCAATACCAGGCACCTCTGTGAGATCGCCAGTGAGGGGCGCGCGGAGGAAATCGGCAAGCGTGTCCTCTGCCACGCGGGACTTTTGTGGGTCGTAGCCGTCAGCCATTGGAATAATATTGTTGTTCAGAGTCTCAACTCCAAAGACCGTCCCCAGCAGCGAGTATAGCTGAGCTTGTTGTGCTCCAATCAGAGACCAGTAGAACTTCCTCTCAAACTCATTCGCGAAAAACTTCACAGCAGTCAGTATAACTATATAAAAAGTTCTTTTTGGCCGAACGCGATTGGTAAAGTTGTGGTCGCTTTGGTTTGATTCTTTGGCCCACAATTAGGCTCATCGGTATATTGTTGCTGGTGTCTTTCAGAACTACGTCGTCGACTTCAAATCATCGTTCTTCTCTATCAACTAGAGCCAACGACATGCAACTAATCTTCGCCAATGACCTGATTGATCTCGAAATCCTGAGCCAATGACATGCAGCCAAAAAAGTTATCTCGGGTCTCACAATACTACAAAATGTAGGCGGGATTGCGAAAAAAACTTTTTCTCGAGTTATCCCCGAGTTATTTCGCTGCTGTGGCGCACTTTTATGAGTATGACAAAATAACGTTTTGATTGGACAGAAAGCTCAGTTATACTGACTGCTGTGGACCCTCTGAGTGATAAATCACTGCTTTGTTGATCACAAACAAGGAGGTTCGCTTAAGTACGGACTCAAGCTGAATGTACAGGATTGTGGTTTTCATTCTGGTAAGGATTTTTACTGTTAGATCTTTCACTTAATTCCCTTGTGAAACCCACATTACCTCATAGTTATTCTGCTTTGGACGATCGATGCTGGATAACAAACCTGTATTTATTCCTGTGGACACGAGATCTATAGAGCCAACATGGACGGCTTCATATTGACTCATTATCTGGAGAGCATCTGTACGCTTCCCCAAGCACGGCCTGGATGAAAAGTTGACGATTTCTTGTCGGACGTACTAGTAAACATTTTCACGGTTTGTTACAGGGTAAAGCGACTGCAACAAAGTATCTTGTTGCAATTCGAGTCACCCACAGGGTGGTCGATCACGAATAAACCAAATAGAATTCAACTTATTCCATCGTTGTACGCATACACTTGGTCACGCAGTTATGATGCTTTCTACATCGCTAGTCGGAGTCGTCAGAGGAATCAATCACAATTACGTCCCACGAGCGCGCAGTCCCATAACCACCTTCATGTTTTCTGTGCGACGTCGGAACTACCTCCTTTACATTCGCAACTGCAACAGCAGTAGCCAAAGAATGTTGCCCCAAACTGTGGTGCTGTAAAGGCTGCAGTTGCACGCCTTTTCTTCTTTCGTCATCGCGACTGCCAACATGTCCGACCAGGTGGTTCTCGCCAAAACCGGACTGAGGCAATGCTCCCTTCTCGCTTTCACTCCACCTTCCATCTCCATCTTGAACACCTGTCTCCTCTCTATTGTCTGCACTACCACATGAGCGCTTCCTCGCTGCCGCTATTTCGTCGCGCTTGGTCTCTGCAGCCCATATTGTTCGAACGCGCACCGAGTCATAGGGATCCTCTTGTCGCATCAATTCCACTTCCTCCGCTGTCGCCGACGGTATTAGACTCGCGTCATTTCGAATCGCATGTTCGTCAAGTGGGAGCTCTTCGATACATCGTGACGACGGCTTCTCGCGAGCTGCGTTACTATCAATAAGCTGCCGCAAACGGACAACTGAAACGAAGTACGGATCTTCTTCACGCATTCCACAGATATCTCGTATTCGTCGCCGAGTTTCCGCCTCCACGTCTGGCTCAATTGGAGCAAGATATTTGTCAGGTGTAGCACTATTGTCCAACTGAACGTATCGACCATCGGAGCAAAACGACCGGGACTTGACAATTAAGTTTCGACAGGCAAGAGCAAGAACAGTAACGTAATTTTCCACCCAACTGGAGCTAGGAAGTGCACCTGTTGTATTCGCAGAGCTGAACAGCGGCAACTTCCACACTGAGACAAGGTGCTCGTCAAGACCATAGCATTCAACACCTTGCAGAAGCAAAATATCGTGTCGTGGACAGCTCCACCAGGCAGGGTAGTCAGTTGAAGCCGACTGGGCCCGAACGACTCGACTGACCAACTCGACTAGTTGAGCTGGTGGTAGCACAAGTATTTGTGTGCGCAACAGGCGAAACAGATCCACGCGATGCAGCAGTCGCCGGCACTGCGTCGCAGTGAGTAGCCAAAAACCTCTTTTCCCGCCTAGAATTGAATTTTCTTCACTAAGACCAGTGTTGTTTGCTTCACCACTATCACCGCGCAATCGTTGGTGACACACACGCTCCAAATCCAGTGCTTCTGCAAGCAGCTCTTCTAATGGGCAGTGCCCAACTCCAAGCTGGCAATCCTGCAGAAAGTAACGCCACTTCTCGTGGCGCTCGCGATCGTCTCGGCAAGTGCCTACATCAGGGATTCCGTACGAAAAAACAAGCTTGGCAAATCGGTTGTGGCGCGAGTCATGGAACGAAGCACCAGGGTATTGAGATGTTAACTGAGCACGCTGCAGCTCAAATTGACGTTTCCGTTGTAGCTGCAACTGCTCATGCAAGATGGGCTGCATCTGAGGCTGCCTGGCGAATGTCATTTCCAAAGGAGCAGCGATTGGTGGCGTGGGTGGCGCCACCGGCAGCGTTCTTGTCACAGTAGTCCACAGGTGAAGTAGTAGCTTCACTCGGCGATTAAGAGTGGCCAAAGAAGGCCACTCAGATAGCGGGTACCGCTTAGCACGTTCTCCGAACAAAGTCGTCCCTTCCAGCATCTGAAGAGGCAGAGCTCGACCTTTCATCCATCCCTCACGATAGACATACATCATAAGTACAACGTCGTCTACACGCGAAATCCACCACGGTGCTAGCGGCTCAGACGAATTCACAGGTGGCAGTGTTTGCAGAATTCGCATTGCCTCGTTGCGCTCTGACGTCACTATTGCAGCAGAGGTATTCGGCTGCTCCACCGTTGGCTTTGCTGCTAATGTTATACCACACCCAAGCGCATTCGGTTGCACAGAAACATCGCGTCTCTCATCCTTTTCAAAATGAGTGACTCGTCCGTCCACACCACCCTCAATGGTGTCACCATTACCCTGGGCGCTTGGAATAAGCAACTTCGCTACTTCGCTTCCGTCTTCGTTATTAGCTGATTTCGAAGATTTTGTTGTCTCGTTACCGGTAGGGGCCGTTCGGATGGCCACCTCTGCGGTAGGTAAGGTTGCAGAAAAAGGTTTCGGTTTGCATTCCTCAACCTTAGTGCTCCCAGATGATGCCTCCACACAGCGCTCTGCTGAAGAGAATCTCACGGTCTCCATGCAAGTCTCCGTTTCGACTTTAACAAAAACGGTGGGCAACACTCCTTGCAATCCGTCTGTCGACTCTGGTCGTTGGTTAATAAATCCATCGTCATTCTCGCTTGCATGTTCAGTGTCACCACTTTTTACCGTGAGAGACTCCGCAGAAGAATTGTTTGCACCAGAATCGGCAGATTTATCATCGACAGGCTCTGAATTCTCGATCTTGTCATCAGGACTCTCGTCGCTAATTCTGGGAACAATGCCCAGCTCAACCATTTGGTGAACTCCGGCTTCGTCTCTTGCCTTTTGAATAACCCTTATCAAAGCAATGAGCGGTACTGGTGGCACCAGCTTTGCGCTCACGAATTCACCCAGCTTGTACATAGTGTCAATTTGCTGTAGCTTCGTACGAGTCCCACGAGCCGCTCGGCTCTTAAAATCTGTGATCCACATGCGTGGGGGAATGGCGACAGCGAGCGGATTCACAATCTTCATCTCCTTCAGCATTGCTGGAATGAAATTATACCGACAACACGCGCTGCCCACTTCGCAAACATACCTATCGATTGGAGATGCGTTCGCCATTTGCAAAGGCGAGGCCACGGAAGAAACAATATATACTCGGCTTGCCTCCAACTCCAACCCAATGCGTGGAAAAGTTGTCATTGCTGTAGTAACTCGCACCAAGCTACAGATGTACTCTTGAGCAAACTTACTCAGCTCTTGGCCCGAGTACGCTTGTAAGACCGGGGCGTGGCGCTTCATATCATCCCATCGTCCATACCCGAAGCTTCCTAGAAGTTCCGCAATACGCTCAGTGTGAGAGTAGATTGGTACTAACGGCGTCTTACAGCGCTTTCTTTTTTCAACAGCATTGAAGCCTGATAGACCGTTGTTGACCAGATCTTCGTCACTTAGGTCATCGTCATCGTCGTCATCATCATCTGAGACCACAAACTCTTCATCCTTTACAACACCTAATTCCCGGAATGGTCTCTTACGCAACGATGGTGCTTCATCCCCACTATCCCCCGCCATAAAAGACTTGTCGTCATCGGTTAAGTACGATTTTACTTTTCGACGACAACGTCTTGTGAGCAAAGGTGAAGGTTCTTCCATCTTCGGTTCCTCGACTCCTTTTAGACCGATAACCTTGGTCCAAAAGTTTGGATCGTCGACGTCGACTGTATCATCTGGATTCGTCGAGCTGACGAAGGTTGCTTTGGAGAACGAGGACATGACATTTTGTTTCTCCTTTCCGTCAACATCCCGGGTTGGATCGTGCACAATCGTCGTACTGCGGCTCAAAATTTGGTCGATACTTTCCTCTCCAAACCTTTTACTTGCTGCCTCCGCCTCACTATCTTGCTCCTTAAACATCTCGTACGCACCATGCTTAAGTAAGCTTTCAATTTCTTCCTTCGACATTCGATCGTTTGCTTTACTTTTGCTCGGTACTCCTTTTAGTTTTGCAACAGGATCGTCATTTTTGATCCCTCCCAGCACTGCCTGGTCAAGACCCAGCTTCAATGATGCTTTGTGAAACATATGCAACTCGTATGTTTTAGATGTCAGCAGGCGGTAAATTTTCACACTTTTCTTTTGACCAATGCGATGACAACGTGCTTGCGCCTGCAGATCATTTTGCGGGTTCCAGTCGCTGTCATATATAATCACAGTGTCGGCCGCTGTCAGATTAATGCCCACGCCACCTGCACGAGTACTCAACAGCATGATAAATGCATCACTGTCTTCCCGACAAAAGCGATCGATCGCTGTCTGCCTCTCATTTCCAGTAATATTGCCGTCAATGCGCTCACAATTGTACCGACGCAAGGCCAAATAATCCTGAAGGATGTCCAGCATTATTCTGAACTGTGAGAAAATTAAAACGCGGTGCCCAGACTCTTTCAAACGAGGTAACAGCTTGTTCAGCAAAACGAGTTTGCCAGACGAGTCCACGAGGCATTCACTAATTTGTCGCTGGATTTCTTCTTTCGACACCGATTTTTGGTTTGCAAGCCGCTTCACTTCGCGCTCTTCCACACCTTTTACAAGGAAAGGATGGTTACAGCACTTGCGGAGCTCCATAAGGACATTCATCAAGCTAGGCGTGTTTCCCTTCTTGCCGCCCCTCGACAGAAACTCCGTGTTCTTTTCGTAAATGGCACGGTAGTACTGCTTCTGAAGCACCGTCAGCTCGACTTCAATAATAGTCTCTTCTTTTGGCGCTAGGGACTTTTCCACGTCCTCCTTCATGCGTCGAAGCAAATAGGGTTTAAGCTCGGAGTGCAAACGCTCTACCTGAGCTGAGTCCGTTAGTTCTCCGAAGCGTTCGAGAAAAGCTTCTTTGGATTCGAACTTTTTTGTATCCAGAAAATTCAGCAGCACCCATAGCTCTTCGACATTGTTTTGAAGCGGCGTGCCGGTCAACAGCAGCATATTTTCATACGTAAATCGCGTGCGTAGGATGTTAGACAGCTTGGAATTGCCGTTTTTCAGACGATGTGCTTCGTCCACAACCATGAGCTGCCAGTTGATCTGAGCCAGTTTGTAAAGGTCGGTAGCGGAAGCCATTTCAAACGTAGTAATTAGCACATCAAAGCGGTAACAGTTACGCTTTGGTCGCAAAGAAGGTTGCTTCCAATTGCTTTTCATGGGCGTCTTTGTAGAGAGCTCTTCAGCACGTCGTAGCTCGTCCTCCGTCAGAAAAAATTCGTAGTTTTGCAAAGCTTCTCGGGCAGCAACTGATCCATGGTACACGACGGTGTTCAGATCAGTCCAGCTGTCGAACTCGCGCTGCCAGTGGCCCAGCGTCGAAAGCGGAGCGATAACAATAAAAGGCCTTGGCGTACGCTCGACAGCCGCAAGATGATTGACAAACATTACAGTCTGCACAGTTTTACCAAGACCCATCTCATCTGCAAGCATCGAATTCCGCTTCTGGTACCAATTAAAAAGCATCCAATTTACACCTGTAAGCTGGTAATCGCGCAAATGAAAGTTTTGCTCTTTCTTGCAAGGTGGTGGAGCCTCTGCTGTGTAACCTCTGAACTTCTTGCGTTTACTCTGTGGTGTGTGTTTTGCGAGAGCAACTTTCCTGAACCTTTTTGCAGCTCTTATGATACGGTCATTGTACAATTCCACAGCAGCGTCATCACCAACATCATCTTCCCGCTCCCACGTAAGTTCATCATATGGAAGAGCTTTCCATTTCACCAAAAAATACTTGAGTGAACTCGTGCCGTACGTTACATCAGACACCGCAAAACCGTCGAGCGGCTGGTCCCCAATCTCGAGAATGCGATCGACGATGCGAAACTCCGGATTGAAGTACTCGTCTCCTTGTACGTCTTCGGAGTAAAGGGCACGATGCTCCTTTTCACGAAAACGTTGGATTTTACCTTTCGCGTTTTTGTCTGTCCTAAGCAGCTCATCCTCCGTTTGCCAGCTGGTGTGTAGATAAGACAACGTTTTCCACTTTATCAAAAAACGTTCTTCACCAGCATTTTCAACGTCAGCAACACCAGCTTCTTCTCGGGTCGCGGCTGTTTCCTTGCTTGCTAAAGTAGTTCGCTCGCCTCCTTGGTTTTTCTGCTGTTCTTGCACCTGTACCTGCTCCGACTTCACTTCCTCATTTGTCTCGTCTTTCTCATCAGAGAAGAAAATGGAGCAGTGTGTCAAAAAGCGGGTACTTTTGCCTCTGCATATCTTCTTCCATTCCTGGAGTGTGTGCACTTCGCGACCTAAAATCTTGTCAATGACGAACCCGTAAACCTCCGCCTTCGTGTTGCTCTCGACTTCCGCGTCACTAGAAGATTCGTCGCTCGAGTCCGACGACAAATCCCTTCGTTTCCGCTTTCTCCTTGCTTTACTCTTTGCTGCTGCCTTTTTTTTTGGTTTAGGCTTTTCTTTTCTTTTCTCTTGTTCCTCGTCACTGCTCATCAGGTAATCGTCATCCGACGTATCAACGAAGGAGTGCAGAGGCTTGGACTTGCGTCGGCTGCGTCGTCGGCTCGTGTCTTCCTCTACCAGTCGTTCTTCATCTTCGTCTGACGGCGTCTCCACTTGATCCACATAATCCTCTGTTGCATCTTCGTCCGCTTCTTCCTCTTCTGCTCTGTCATCGTCGTCGTCGTCGTCCGAATACTGCATATGACACTGCACCGTCAACAACGAAACAAATACAAAATATAAAACAAGATAAATTACGTCATAAAAACAGTACACTTCGTATATCTTCGGTGATGCAAACCCCGAGTATGTCATTACCTCCTTTTCGCCACGACATCTCTTGGCAGGCCGCTCGAGCTCCAACACAGTGGAATTCACCGTGTTTCTCTCCTGCAGCGCATTTCGAGCGTGTTCAGGAGCTCTGGACTTGACGCTTGGGTTCGTCTCATTCGCCTCGCTCTCGGAGCTGGAACTCAAGAGCTCCACGGTCTCTACAGCCGCGCCTTTAGCCCTGTACGAAGCCTGCAAGAGCAGTAAAAAGTACGGTCTTAAGTACAATGATCATCAGCCCACATAGACAAGCGGAAGAGCCAACGCACCATGACGATCGTTGACTTCGGTCCCGCAATCACTCGATGGCGGCAGAGTGAATGTAAGGCGTATACGAGGGTATCTTATTTGCTAAAAAGGATTCTCGAGGGGTAGGTCTACCTTTGCTAGCTGAAATTTTGGATTCGGTCGGTATATTTCGACATTCGAGGACGAAATATCTGACGCACGCAACGTCGACAGGAGAAACGAATGGCGGAGAGCGCCGATATGTTGAAGTTTGTATGCGAGCGATACATCCGGTTCAGACTTCATTCGCTGCAACTTCGACCTGAGGCGTGCAGTTTGTTGCCGTTCATTTTCTACGTCAAGATCAAAGTAGTGTTAACATTGGTATTGCCTGTCCTCTTTGGCATCGAAGGTAAAGATCGCAGTCTATATACCAAACTTTGTCGGCAAATAATACTTACAAGTGCATCGGCTTCGGAGCTGTGTCAGCCACTCTTTACAGTTTTTGAAATAGCGAAAGGCAACTCAGCATACAGCAACTAGGTCTTGAGTAAAGCTGCTCGAAGTACCGATCCCGTGTATCGATAAGAAAGTAGGAGACCACAACTTGGCTTCTAACGTAGTTGTTTAGCCTCGGACACGCGGTTTCGTCGCGCTTAGCCCCGTTGTTGTTACTGGTGCAGCAGTTGGTACATTTGCACCAACGCATCGAAGCGATGTCACCAACTCAGCATTATCTTGACATGAACGAATAAATAAAATGCACAAAAGGGAGTGTATCGTTTGTCGTCTACATCCTGGTATCGCTCGTTCTTCAGAATGTTCATATAGTATTCCACCACGCTGTTACTTAGCAACCAATAACACGCTAGGAAATCGACCCAAAGAAATTGACAACAGCACCTAATTTCTTGTAGTGACGGTCTGTTATGACAAATGGCGACTTGGCAACCGAAACTTATTGACTCCTTCGCAATGAATCGACAACCCTTTTCGTTTCACTTGATGCAAATCGGAATCTCATGCGCCGTTTCCTTGGTTGTTTTGCGTAACTTACCAATACGTGTGTGCATTTACGCTTTGTTTTTGATAGAATGAAGTACTGGTGTCTGTCCTGTATGTCTACGGTAGCATATGTTACCTCAGCACTGAACACTCAAGAAGTCATAGGTGCGTTTTGTTCCGCAAAATCATTTTTAACACGACTTTCTTCGATTTAAACATGCTCGGACAACATTCGAACCCAAAGTAACACCAATAGCGACCACATTAGCACACTTACAAAAGTTACGTACATTTCAAAGTATAAACCATTCGGCGCAGCACCAACAATCAAATTTCGCGTCCAGATTGCTTCTTACCAATATTTCTAGGACAAAAACAGACGTACGTGTAAATGTCACTAATACGACTCATACATTGACAGTTTAATCAATAGCGGCTGCTAGTAGACATGATAGAAATAGTAACCCCCAAGCTTTTCTTCGATTTCTAAGCGTAACGACAAATTCAACAGCTGAATAACCTTGTACAGGTTTTTTTATCCCGACGTCGAAGAACTCGTTGGTAATCAGTCCGTCAAATCAGTTCGCCTTTTCCACAGCTCAGCCCAATGCGTCTCGCCCCAGACGTTACGCTGGACATGGAGGAGCAATATAAGCAGGAGAAACGTCCGACAGCCAATTGCGGAGTAATGGAAGAAGAGCTTTGTGTCGGGTAAGGAGTAACAGCAACTTGTACTGTCCCACTATTGCTCTGTCAGTATGGAGCTGATTGCTTCGTTGTCTCTTAACTAGTGAGGACGGACTCATTGTGGTCGTGCCTGTGGATGCTAAGAGCCGTCTGAAGAAGCTGAAGCAGCTGCTAGAATGTCGTGAAAACGTACGTTGTTCTGAGGACGACGGGATGGAGATTGTGCTAGTTGTGACTGACTTCTGGTACTTATTCTCCATGTTACTATGGGACAGGAGCTTCGACAGGCAGCAGAGTATGGTCTGGGGCTGCTGGAAGCTAATGGGGAGCTGCAGATGCAAGTGGCGACGCTGAAAATACAGCTGGAGACCGGGATGGACGAGATCTCGGTGGACAGAGACACCTGGCAGCGACGCACTGAACGCGCACAACAGGAGACAGCACAGTGGAAGCGCAAATTTGCACATGCGGAGGAGGAGAAGACGGATTTAGCAGAGGAGTTTGAGCGCTTGCTCCGACGCTGCAAGTGCCATCAACGAATTACTGCAGACGCGATGAAGGATACTGTAACGAGCGGAGAGCGAACGTGTCCCGATCATTTGGATTTGATCGCTCAACTGCACAAGGAGTTGCAATCAGCCCAAGCTTTACTGCGCTTGAAGGAAGCAGAATTGACATCACTACGGCAGTGGAGAGAGGAGGAGCAGCAGCAGCAACAAGAGGCGCTTGCGTGCGAAGTTACGGCTGCACAAATGGAAGTCTCCAGCGTTATAAAAATGAAACAAGAGCTGGCAGATACTCAACGTGCGATGAGTGTCCTTGCACATGAAAAAGATGCGTTGCGCGAATCGGCAGAAAAGCATGATGAAGATATGCGCGCGCTGAAGAAGCATCTTCGCAATGCAGAAGCAGGAAGAGATGACGCCGAGATATTGAGCAATGAATTGACTGAGAAGCTACTATCGTTCGAGTCGCGATGTACACGGCTTCAGCGCGAACTTGAGCTGCTGCAACATGTATCTTATTTCTCACAGGCGGTTGTTGACCGTGACGACGAAGAAAGTGATGAAGATGATGCAATTGGTGGAGTAAAGGACCATCAGACAACTGTTGTGCCCGATATGGATCAGATGGAGAACATTGTTACTACGGACGCTACTGACGGGCTCGAAAAACTTGATGTTACGAGCGTTGCTGGCGACTTGGAAAATCAGGATGCGCCTTCTATAATAAGAATCACACAAAAGCGATCTGGTCTTGTCGAACCGGGGACCCCGCGTATGCTATACCCCATTACTGAAGAAGGATCGCATGTGCAGGTACCTGAGTCGGAGCGTGAGACAAACGCGAAGTTACACCATTACTTCCACTTGACGGCACTGAGCATTATTCACGAAAACAGTTTGCACGAACGCTGCTTTTATTCGTCGAGTCGTCTCACGATCGACATGTGGTACCGTGAAGTTATGGCAAAGGAAGTCCCGTTCGTTTTATGGCACTCCTGGCTCATCAATCGCATTGGCGAGGTGGCTATGCTTGTACAAGACGAAGGTGGCGTGGTCCAGGAGCCTACTCCAGCATCGCCAAGTGCCAGGAGCGCATTTTTCAGATTTTCGTTGCGGAAGCGCGGCGGAAGTGGATGTGAAAAATCGATGAATGTTCCGGCTGCTTCGCCTGCGAGCGTCTCGTCGTCGTTCCCGTCGTCGCCGGTGGCTCGCGTATCATTTGCAGTGGCACGAGCCTTCTTCCGCTTACTGCGAAAAAGAACACAGACCAGTGCCGACCCTTCTCCAGTAATTGGATCTCCTGTCGGTGGTTCACCTGTTGGATAGCAAGTGCGTTGTAATCATGGTCCATTGCTACAATGAGGACACTTACTGTACGTTTGCAGTGGCCACAGTGCTAAAAGGATGCCAAGTAAATTATGTGGTTGTCCATTGATTTATTTCTTCGGTTAATGCGCTCTGCGAAGACTGTTGCTGAACACTATGTAAATGATGAGAGAATTGAAACGATGAGTCCGAAGCCCAGAAATGCTGCAAGTTTCGCAAACTGATCGGGCAAATAGTTGAGTCTCTCCAGTCTGAAGTCTTCGCTGATGTTTTTGAGCTTCGCAATTGACACCAACAATAGAACATTCCCTAGGTGACCCATTGCAATGCCCGTGACCAGCAGGCAACCGTAAAACAACGCGATGGACAGCAAAAAGACTTGAAAGGTCAGCTGGAATCCCAGTCTCAACGCCAACGACGCTTCCGAATGCCCAATGCGTCGAACAAACGGTGCGTTTCGTGCACTCTCAAGCAGCAAAAACGCCCAAGCAAACAGCATCACAATGTACGTGTAGAGCACGACAGCCCACGGTACCTCATTGACCAGGTAAATTGCCGTGCTACCCATAGCAACAGGTCCGATAGCCCACGCCAGCAAAACTTCACGGAGCCCGACCATTGGTAATGGTTTATCACCACGTTGACAATAAAGTAGGCATAACGTGACAAGTAGCGCCATTCCAGCCGTAACTTTAACACTTTTGTCACATGTGACATGCGTCACCCCGAGAAAAGTTAACTGAAGGCCGTAAAATAAATATGACCAACACCGAATTTGAGTCAACGTCAACAAACTGCAAGATCACATAACAGTTAGAAATAGGGATGCACGAAAATAAGAAGGAAAGCAGTAGTACATGAACGACATCAAGATGTATAGGCTAAGAAGTACCCACTTCAAGACGATCTTGGTGTCCGGGACTTCTTCTTTTCTTGGCTGCAAAGCGCGTTGGAAATTTGGATACACGACGCTGAGGTTCCCTATCGACTGCGATAGTAAAGCGCAGGCAAGAAGGGCAAGCGCGTCCAGCTGGAGGAAAGATACGCTATGGGACTGGTGCAGGAGACTCACGACAATCAGTACGGGACTCGCCGAGGCGAACAACGTCTGGGGTCGTAGTGCACAGCGCAAACTCTTTGCGTATTCCATCGCCACAGATCGCGAGTTTGTACCGTAGTAGTGATTTGACGATAAAATTGAATGGAATTCACCAAATAGTGACCGGGCTTTAAATAGTTAGAGCCCCCTCACAAGTCATTAAATTTGAAAAAGGGTTTCAAATACCAGAACGGCTTTTGGTACACTACTAGCAATAATCAAGTACCCCCTTCTCGATGTTTTGCTGTCCATCGTACCCGCTATTCGATATCATCGAAGCATCATCACGATCACTTCAACAATCCTGATCTTCTGTGTGAATTTTAAGCTACTCACTGTCGTCAAACCCTTACCTTCGGGTGTTGAGGGAGCTGCCCCTCTTTGTCTGAAAGGTGCTGTACACGTTGCGCTCCGTAGTGTGCCACTAGAATTCAGGCTGGCTTAAGCGTGGCCCGCTAAAACTGAGTTGTCGTCTCCACTTGTAGTATGCACTGCTATACGTGTCCATACGACCTCCCTTTTCGGTTCTGCGCTTCATTATTGCGTAGGTATGAAAGCTCTTGGTGTATGGGGGGTAGACTTTTAAACAAATCCACGTATTCGTTTGGGATCAGCCTGTTCGGTCGCACTGCGTTGTAGCCACCATTATCAGTCCATTTCAGCAGTTGAATGCTTTTGGAGCTCAAAGTGCTTTACAGCTCTCGCTGGAATGCGCCGCCCCCCCCCCCTCAGTATATCATTCACGACTGAATATAGAACCTACATAGTAAACAAACGGAAAAATACTAAAACTGGGGTTTTAATTTATGAAATTAATATATTCACACCCCATTTCTTTTTACTTACACCCTTTGCCAAACCTGATATTCACACCTCTTTACCAAACCAGTTTTCACCCCTATTTTTGCCAGCCCAATTACTACACCCTATTACTCATGCTCACTCTCTTCATAGAGCAATTTGAAGGACAGTTTTATTTCTACCTAATTTTACACCCTTTTCCTACGGAAGTTCGCTTTTCGCTAAAAGTAGCGCACCTAGCAGGGCGACGTGAGATGGAACTCGTAACTGAGTTTATTCAACAAACGAAGGGCTATCACTTCACTTTATGATCGACCATTCATAAATATTGTAGGGGTGGTCGTGAGGAGTGAAATGTAATCCTCATTGAGGTCAGCTTCGTGTAGTCTACTAATGTAGCAGCACGTACCATTATTCACAATATTACGATCTGATGCTTTGATAAGCAGAACTGCAAGCAACACCATCTTATCATACCTGTTGTAGCTACTCCCTCTTGATATTGTGACGTCCGTTTATTCTTCTTCCGCGCCGTCTAAGGGCACTATTGTCTCGACGGAGCATTTATAATACTATTGTTTGGATGTAAAGAGCACTTGCACAGAAGTCATTTCTGCACTTACTACACCTGACTACGTTATTGTAATTAATTGGGCAACTCTCGCAGCAGGTATCACCTACCACATTTTAAACAATTATAGAAAGGTACATGTGAGCGAAGATAATCAGACAAAGCTTGTTCGTGGCATTCTTAATGGTTACGCATTCCATTTGCAGATAAAAGGGTGCAATATCGGGGACTCCGGGCGTGTTTGTAAGAAGCGATTGTGTGAACGGTATGCTGCCGGGTTTTTCGATATGTTTTAGACTTCTTTGTTAATATATTGGAATAGCCTGCTGGCGGAACAGTATCGTGTATCCTACGAACTGGAACCAGAATGAAGAGTATTTTTGTACGGGAACCTTCATTCGGTAAACGACCGGGTTCTAGCTATTTCTAAATTTGACAATATTGTTATGTGCTTGTTGAGTGGAAAGATTATCGTAGACTTTAATTTATCTTGTGCGTGGTCGGTAAATAAATCCGGGGATTTCATATTTCATACACGGAGAATCTGTCAAGGATAAGGATGTGAATATCAGGATCGCCATGAAGTGTGAGAATCTAAGTTGAAGGGGTGTAAATATCTCATCCTCCAAAATATAGCACCTTACGAGTGTTGTATGTAGAGGGTGAGTACGAGTAATAGGATATGATAGGGGAGCAAGCTCTGGAGCTCGCCCTGTGATATTAGTAAATGAGTTAGGAGAACTGAATCAAGTTGCGACACACTACACAACAGCAGTCACTGAAGAAGGAGTATGATGCTGTTAATGTAGAGCAAATCTCATTGTTAGGACCACAAATGTCCAAAAGTCCTAAAACCAGGACTATAGTTTAAACAAGTCTAAAATTATCTATTTATACTTGTGTTGAGTATGCAAACTCGCATAGTGTTAGCCACATTATACTCAACTGCAACATGGGATAAGAAACTGCCTGAACACTAATGAGTCTTCCATTTTTTAGACAACTGTCGCGAGTGGTCAAAAAACGCTCTTTTTTTACCAACGGTTCGTTTACTTCTCAATTTGCGCCCACGAGCCGATGTGCCCATTTTGGTTTGGGCACATTGCGTGCGAGCCAGGGCCCGGTCGCACGCACCCAACGAGCTCGTGACCGGTAGACTCCGTTATTGTATTAGCTCTCATGAGCAGCGGTAGCAGGTAATCATGCTGTCGATGTCGACTGTGCTGTCTAAAGATCGTATGCTTTTTCTGTATGTATGTGTTGCAGTGCGTTTCAAGTGATGTCGTGTGATTTCGAGTGGTATTTAGTCGTGACGAGTGATGTCGAGCGGTATCAAGTGATGTCGAGTGGTATCAAGTGATGTCGAGTGATGTCCAGTGATGTCGAGTGGTTTCAAGTGATGTCAAGTGATGTCGAGTGATGTAAAGTGGCGTCCAGTGATATAGAGCGGCGTCGAGTGGTTTCTAGTAATGTCGAGTGTCCTGCTAAACAATTGTGTGCTATGTCCGTCTGGATATGCTGCAGTGCGAGGAGTTTGTTTGACTGACTAGGGCGTAATGTAAAGACAAGTGTAATACATGCGGTATATATATTCAGAAATTAGTACTGGTCTTAAGAGCATTAGTTATTGAAATTTAATTTTTTTTCACTACCTCATACTGTTCATTATGAAAAGTTAGCTTGAGCGTTTAAGCGCAAGCGCAAGAAGTGGACTGAAAAGAGTCTTTGAGATGTCTCGAGTGACTGCAGCAATCGAAATTAACACTAATCACGGTACTAATGACCTGACCTATGGTAAAACCTTTCGAACTGGCGTTGCTGCAACCGCGTACATAAAGAATTACTGTTTTAATCAAAATCGACAGTGCAAGGTGCAATAACGGAGTCCCCCGGTCACGAGCTCGTTGGGTGCGTGTGACCGGTCCCTGGCTCGCACGCAATGTGCCCAAACCAAAATGGGCACATCGGCTCGTGGGCGCAAATTGAGAAGTAAACGAACCGTTGGTAAAAAAAGAGCGTTTTTTGACCACTCGCGACAGTTGTCTAAAAAATGGAAGACTCATTAGTGTCCAGGCAGTTTCTTATCCCATGTTGCAGTTGAGTATAATGTGGCTAACACTATGCTAGTTTGCATACTCAACACAAGTATAAATAGATAATTTTAGACTTGTTTAAACTATTGTCCTGGTTTTGGGACTTTTGGACATTTGTGGTCCTAACAATGAGATTTGCTCGTTAACGTATGTATCAACTAACACCTTACAGCGAACTCAAGCAACGCGATGAGCCTTTTCTTTTCAGTGTCCAGCATTTGCTTATGTGACCATAATCCTCTTTGATCGATTTAAGCCAATTACGAGCGTGCGCTAGAATAGTGAATACGCCAAAGAGTGACTTCGGATATGCCTATATACCTATGAGGGGGGGACAAGCTAAAAGGCACTTCGTTCGCGCAAGGCATACCTAATCGCGATAATTACAGACATACACACAGACTGACGGACAGACAGACAGATTAGTACGATTTAAAGGTCGCTCTTCAACATTGCGCACAGTCACCAATAGCTTCACCCTTCGGGCTCGCAATAATTACTGGTTTGGCAATAGGGTGCGAATATCAGGTTTGGCAAAGGGTGTGTAAATTAAGAAATGAGGTGTGAAAATATCAATTCCCTACATTAATCACTGCCACGCAAATTCAAGCGCCGCGAGTAATTAACGTTCTTAGAACGCATGGTGCCGTTTGTGTTACAGCTACCGACAGTTCCACCAAGCAGGCAAAGCGGGTATGACATCGATCGACTTCAATTCTAGGGCCACGTATCTTCCCCGCATTGCTTCCGCAAACATCGGTCTCTATTGATGCTGACTCAACCATGTATATTGTTCCGCGCGATTGAAGTTGACCTAGCTCCTTGCCCTCGACAGCTTTACGCCCTTTTCAGTTACTTAAATTACTTCTCCTTCAGCGGTACCATCGCCTTCTCACCAAAATCGATACGTATAGCAGCTGCCTCAATAGACTGCTTGTACCAGGTTCGTAACAACTAGCCAGTGATAACCCGAACACCCAGCGCTGCAATTTGGTGAATATGCTTGGTTCCTGGCTGCCGGACGAACATCATATTAGGCGGCACATCCAACTCGTCCGATAACCAGTGGATAAGAGCATTGTCAAAACTTGAGCCACACACGTGCACAAAGTCGATCTTGATCTTTGGGTACGTCAGATCCAACACTCGAGCCATCTCGCGCATATCCTCCACATCCTCTCGCTCAAGCGACCGTCGACGCACATCAGCATCCGTGACTTCTGCACTGCTCTCTTCGCCAAAGTTCGCATCTTCACTCACGTGTATCACGCGTAGATTGTGAGTGTGCTCGTTCTTGCGCACGTAAAGTATTGCTTTGTTAAGCACGGACAAATCAGGGGTCTTGAGGAAAAACACTATCGGCGAAAGGTGAATTGCTCTAAGCACTGCTGTAATCGTGCGACCACCTATAGCTCCCGTTCGAGCCATTTCTGTTGATTTGGCTTGTGAGTCGGACGCTGCGATATCTTGGCCGTGTTCATTTCGAATTCCGCGCGACGGGAAAAGATGTTTCAAAATGTAGAGTGCAATTCGCAAAATGAAGACGCGCTCGAGCATGATAAACATCGCCGACACAAACACGATGAAGTACAAGGAAAAATAGATAAAGATGGTCGGGTCTCCGAGCAAATTACCCATCAATCCCAGTAGCACCATCACCAGTCCAACAATACAGCTCCACCACGGCGCATGGACGTCGCGCGGAATGTCTTCGCGTTTTAATTTGAGCAGTATGCAGCCAAAAGCAAACAAAGCCATAACCCCCAGGAACGCAAACGTGAAAACTCCAGCGAGCACTGTAGCGTCCGCATGCAGCAAGACCACGAGACTAGCTTGTAGCGCGAAAAATTGTAAAATGATGTAGTGGTTCGTTCCACGCCACTTATTGGTGCGCGTGAGAAACGCGGGCAGTATACGATCAAACGCCAGCCGTCGTACGAGTCCTGTGATTCCCACATACGACGTCAGCACGCCACCAGCCAGGACCACGAACGCGTCGATCGACACCCAGCTTTCCAGCCATGGGCCAGCCACAACTTTTCCCATCGTCGCTAGCACCACGTCTTTGTCGTCATATATCCCTCCAGGTCCTTCCAATGGCAGTACCGCCAACGACAAGATCGATAGCATAACATTGTAAACCGTCGCAAATGCCCACATATTTCTCAACGTTTTTCGAAATACACCAGGTGCTTGTTCCTCGACAAATTGAGCTGACGTCTCGAAACCCGTGATGCCCAACATAGCCGACGAATAGCCAAAAAAAACACCCGTCAGCACGTTTCCCTTAATGATGTCCCCCGCCACATTAACGTCTGGAAACTCTGTCTTTAAATTCGTCCAGAAAGTCTCGGGATGTGCCACTGCATAATAAATAGAAAATCCGCTCAAGAGCGTCAACGTCATGACATGGACGACAAAGATCACGAGAGCAACAGTTGCGCTCTCTGCGATGCCAATAATGGACAATAGAGCGAACACAAAGAGCAGCAGAACTGTCGTTGGCACGACTTGAACATCAACTTGCGTATCAAGATACCGCATGGCTGAGGTCCCTGAGACGACGCCCGTGGTCAAGTACGAGATGATCCCGAGCGAGGCGGCGACTGCTGCCACTCGTTTGGACGTGGTATTAAGCAAAACATTGTAGGAGCCTCCGTTGAGTGGCACGGCAGTCACTGCCTCTTCGTAAATGGACCTGAATAGATAGAGCACGAGAGCGACGAGAAGTTGAGCCAATGGCGTCAGTTTGCCAGCTTTGACGGCCACGATTCCGGACGAGTAGAGGACACTGGCTAATATGTCATTTCCACAGATGGCGGTGGATGGCCATTGGCCCAAAAGGCGCTTGGGGGCGTCAAGATGCGCGCGAGAGCGTTGAAGGGACTGGCGGTCGACTTGGATCCGACGCGTTTCGCCATCGGGCGGGTACATCCACGACGAGCGAGAAAGACGTCGATGAAGACGGGGGTGATGGTGAGACATGACACTGTGGCTGTGGGGAGAGAGAGCGGACGCGTCGGGGGCCGGAGACGCTAGGAGAGAGGTCCGGAGGCCGTCGTCCGCATGGTTCATGGCGAATTGTCAGGAGTGGAAGCGGAGGGTGAGGAGCTAAAAATTGGATACATACTCTTTAAAAGGTGTGACGAGTGAGCGACGTACTCGGTTTTATGACGGATTGTTTTTTTGGATTGAGATGTTGTCGAGAAAATGAGATTTGGCGTCATGGGTCTTGTCGGACTTTTTTAGATCGCTTCTGAAGTGAGCGCTGCATTTTTAGTGATAGTTCAGCGGCTTGTGCAGCACGAAGTTACTGATACCGTGGATTGTATCAAAAGTACTGCTGGGCTATGGTTGTGCGAATAGTGTTTGAGAGGTGTGACATCAGCGCGCAACGTTGTCTTCTTGAGATTGTGTCACGTCTTGCTAAAGCTTGACGTCATTATTCGTTTATGACTATAACACAGCTATGTTCCGCAAAAGCCGGAAGGATACACTCTAAAACTACTTCTGGTAATTGGACGAATGCGAATTGGATCTGGTATTCTTTTAGGGATCATCGAAACAATTTTAACTATGTTTTAAATGTTACGCAAACTTATTGACAAGTACATCTCAAAACCGACACCAGATCTATGCACACTTCTCAAAATCAGTACCAGTCCCGAAAGCAGTTCTGAAAGGAAAGTAAACGGTGCTAACTACATTACTTGGTTGTTAATGTGGTTGGTCGGCTGCATACTCTCGAAAATGGAGTGGTTGGTATCTCTAATCTAATGGCGAGTTAATCTTGAAGCTATACCTCGTCAGGTGCTCTCTTGAAACATGAAGAGATGTCAATGGATGAGATCAGTCCTTTATTAAGTGATCAGTGTAACCCAATTTGTTTTAAGCCAAACTCTTCTTCGCTTCTCTACATGTATTTTTTAGATACAAGGGAGATAATTAGTGTGCGTAGTGGATCATCAATATTGAAGATTCAAGTGAGCCCTTTAGTATTCGATAATAGATCCTGATGACGTGGTTTGCCATAATTCACCACCAGTTTTACTACAGATAAAGGAGTGAGTCATGAAAGTGAGTTGGTTCATAGAATCGAATATTGTGTTGCTCTAATGTGGCTATTATTAAAAAAAAGGCAGTGTGGCTATATCATTGATAATTTTTTGTGTGCAAATTACGAGGCACGATGTGACGTGAAATTATGTATCTGACACCAAACTTTGATCAGAAAGCCGAACAGTAAGTGGCGCATAGTAGGTGCTTATAAAAACTTGTCGCGGTCAATATTAGGACACAGGCACCCACCCATTTATCAAGAGGACATTTTAAACACGACATGTTTGATTGTACCATGTACAGTGCGCTCGATATATTTAACGGGGATATTACGAGACAGTGATATTCCGCTGACAGCAGTACTGATTGATCATGCGAGAGAGAAAAATCCTGCTGACAGCTGTGAGCACTTTGAGTGGTCTACAATGGTAGTGTATACTAATGCCCCGAGGACCTTTCAACGCTACGGATGCGTCTAATCTTCTGTTGAAGCAACTTTTTTGTTCTCAAAGGTGTGTTGCAAAAACATGCTTTAATATCCAGTCATCCTTATCAGCAAAACTTGTGGTTTGGTAGTAGGTAACTTTCTTGACAAGTTTGATGTCTACCACGGTGATCTATCTTTGTGGTTTCTTGTATATGTTTAAGTATATAACATGCAAGATTTATACAATCATGTCTCAAAGCGAATATGTCATAAGACCTGTACAAAAGTTTAGTGAACGTATGATGTACTAACTGGGCGGTTCTGGGAGGACCGAATACACACGCCTGACGGAGACTTAATATAGCAACCGATATAGCCACTAGATCACACATTCAGTCAATACTCTTATAGTCGCAATGACGCTGAATGTTCTGCTCTCAGCGGTGCTTTTTTAGTGACGAGTAAATTTGCAACCCTTTAGTACGTTACATATATTTTCACGTGAGTCGCTCCAGCACTGTGCACTTCTTGGTGAATCGGCAACTTCTTCAAGTTCATTACAGTATTTCAAGGCGAAAAAATTCCTTTCTCCGGAATTGACCCCTGCTTGCGTGCCTAAACTTAGATGTTGAGATCTAGAAAATTTGAAGTTCGTCGCTCAAAGCTGCCATACACTGCCTCTACGTACACCTTCAGGCAGGCACGAGGAAGCTTTTTACCATCTTCGCTCGCGTGAAGCAAGAGTCAGGTAGTATGCTTACAACGGCCTCAACTAGAGATGGACGCTGTTGTTTTTCGTGGCTCGGGAGCGGCATCCCTTCGTCCTACACACACGGAACAATTACGTTGCAGATTTAGGACTGTTTTCTATTTATATAAAAAGGAGAAACATAAATGGCTGTTGAACAACGACAAAGATTAGACGCGAGCTCATTTGATAGTCGGTACCTACAGTGCTCCTAAGCTTAATCTAAGCGCATTGAAGGTATATATAAATAACATAGTCTGATGACGTCAAGTGGTGACTTCATCCGTGGGGTGACACACACTATTTGTGATAGTTACGATGCTACTGTAACTCAATCACATGAAAGGACAAAATTGAGAACCGCACTTTGAACCTCAATTAGACTTTTTAAGGTTTTTGCACCGAAAGTCTTGTGTAAATCTTTTACCCCTATACAAATTTTCTGCGCAAGAGACAAAATTTGTCGTAGTCATTGAAAGCAGGTCTGCACTTTAAATGCACATAAGCCCTTCACTTCACATATTGATACGAAGTTTTACAAGCCTGGTGATAAAGTAAATTGTGAGAACCATTTTGAATGCGGTTGGTCCTGGTAATAATGCGCTACAGACGGCAGAATTTGATCCTAGTTGGCTGTCAGTTCAACACAGTTCTGGTGCTCTAATTTCTGACTAATTCATGCCAATATCCGAGCCGTTTCATTTTCGTAATGTAACAATCCAACATACTACTGGCATCACTATAACATTCCTTGCTTGCTTTGTCACACGGTAAGAACCTAAAGATAAGACTCTCATGATGCGATCACGCATGTACCTCGCTCGAGTGCAGAGTCTTTAGTTGATTCGATATTACTCTTTCCGTAGTTTTCTGCTCGTCTTCGCCATCTTAATCTTCTTATCTAGTTTCGCAGGTATTTAACAAGTGAGTTAGTTTCTATCCGGAGAACGGGCTGTTAAACATGGCCCCACCTTACATGCAGCAATGATAATGTATGCACCACACTTCCATATAGTCGTAGTGTTTTCAAATGGTGACGTCAGCAAAAAAATTGCTCTATGGTATTTAATGTAAAAAAATACGAGCTCCGAGACTGTGTTTAAGGTTATACCCGAATCTTCTAAGACCTACTTTGAGGTGCGTCGGCAAAAAAACTTGCCGTACATAGCCTAGTTAATGCGATGTAGCAAGTCCTTTACTAACTTATATACCGACCTTATGTGCTTACTCTTTGAGTATTTCACTATAGAAACCGCTTGAAGTCGAAAAGTCCCACCTACACGTCATTCACACACAAGTGATTGACTGGATCGTGATCGAAAGTGAACGGACAAAAAAGTTACGCCTCTCCAGTATTGAGTAAACATGAAGGGCTTTTATTCATTTACTTTAGACGATGAACAGGTAAAAAGCTGTGCGTACCCTCCTCGCTAGATCTCCGAAAAATTTCCTTCAATTGAACTTTTCTTCTTCATGAATTATTTGATGCTGACGGACGCACTTCCTTGTAAACGGCACTACCGGGCATCATCATTCGCCCGATTTCTTTCATATTACTTGTTTAAATACATCTACATCATCAACGAGTAGCTTCAGTATTCACACGTACAAAAATACTAGTTTACCATTTTCAACACACACCCCATTCCGCTAAGCAACCGAAACAGATCTTATAATTTCCACAACTTAAATGTTTTTATGAATGGGACGAGATCCATAGCTTCCTCTTCAAGCTACTCAATATTTGATATACAGCGCTAAGTTTTACAGTAGATTTCTTTCTCCACTATTGCGCGCCCATGGCAATTTAGTTGCGAAACAGAAGATTCCACGAAACATCATCATTCGAATGTATCTATCGAACCAGCGCTATTGAAATTGAACTTCTGTACAATTTTTTAAAATAAACAGAGCGAATCGGTGTCCCCGTCGGAGTGTTCCCGCTTTAGTTCGTGCTGATTTAACGAGTGCATCTGGCACTAGCTCCATTTTAGTATCGATAAGTCAGCACGATTTGCAAAGAAAGATTTGGAATGATCGTCAAGACCAACGTTTGACTGTACAATAACGAAAAGGAAATGTAAATTTTATCGACAACCTTTTGTTTATCAGCCACCACTCACCAATAATTAATATGATTCTGTGTAGATTTAAAAAAGCAATGCATTTATTCGGTCACACAAATATATAACTTATGACAGCCTCCGGACAGAGTTTTTGCAATATATAGAATGGGAGTTTAATAAACTCGAAGTATGTCTTGAGTTCGATCCAAATTTGATGTCAGCACTAGATACACGTAATTAAATTATTTATTCTATGGCCTTAGCCACGATCAAGGATGTTCTGACGAGATCCTTCCAGACAAAGATAAAGCGGAATGTTCTCGCTTCCACATTCATCATGAACCCAATATAAATGGGTCAAATGTATCGCTTTGCGGGGCTTTGTAAGTAGGAAGTCTAAGTAGAAATACATTCGATCAAGGGCATAGTGTCGGGATATGCTCGTTGACGAAAAGGACTCGACACACACGTTGAAGAATGATGACGGTAATGTGGGAGAAAAAGTTTGGCGCATTCATAATTTATGATTGTCGTGACACAAGACAGAACATCGAAGCTCACTAGGTCCTGAATTATCACCCAGATCCACGGCTGATGGAAGCACGTTGGTGATGTTATTTTCGTATCACTGAGGGATCGACTAGCAGCAAGATAAATTTTAACATATTATGGCACCGTCTTTATCTATGGCCTACCCTTTGTGCGTTTGGAAGCAGCGAAATATCCTTGCTTTTGTGCGGGAACCTTAACTGAAGTCGTTTTCTTCTACAAATTATTGTACGCAATCCAAGCAGTAACTCAAGTATTTCCGTTTTTTTGGCGATAAATAAACAAACCAAGGTTTTTTTTTTGATGGCAGCACAAAAAAGCTGGACACATGTGCGATGTTTAAAATGGAAGTGGGTATTTTCACACGTCTTTTTCTTGTATTATAACCCTTTGTCAACCTGATATTCAGAGCCTTTCTTTCAAACCAGGCATTTGCCTTCATTTACCAAACTATTTGATAAGCCCCTTTTTCCTATTCTTTCTCTACGTATAACAATCGAAAGAGTACTCTATTTTCGTGACCTTTATTTTCATCCTTTTACGATAATGTATTCTCTTGACAGGAGTACAACTTTAAGGGCAATGAGAGATACATTTTGTAATTGGAGCTATGATACACAAAAGAAACCATTCAGAAGTGTATATTGGCCTATTCGTGTAACATTTGTAAGATTAACAAATTGTCTTACATCTCACGCTTCGATACCATAATAATAGAATGTTTTCTTCACCAAACTGTTATGAATACTCCTTTTGACCTTCCGTGATGTCCATCCGGTCCTCCTTCGCACCCCCAACAGACAGTCGGGACTTAAAAGTGAGCAAAATATTAGAATAATAGATTTCGATGCGTTAAGTAGCTTTAAATTCATTGCTGCAATTTTAACGCCTTGGTACAACATTTTACTCAGCTCGAACAACACTCACAGTAGGGTCGCGAAGCAAATTCACAATATAGATCGTTTATGACAACTTAACAAACGATTTGATCAAGGGACAGGTGTTCGGAAAATATCACACATGCTCATTAGGTAATTTTGATGGTTGCGCACTCTTTTAGTGAGTGAAAGCAGTATTTTTAAATGTAGGCATCTTTCGAGATGCAACCGATTTTTTTTCCCTCACATTTCTCAAAATACCACTTAAATGTACGAACAACATGTCGACAAAGCAGCAGTGTCTGAGTAAAATTAGATCCCTAATCTATATATACATATATTTTAGGCGATAATTATATGCGGCTAGTGAAGGACACAATCATCAGTATTTGTATAAATGTTGTTAAATGCGCGCCCACAACATTACTAAAATGGACGCCTTTTGAGAACAGTGAATAATTTTATATAAATTTACGCCCTTTAATAATAAACGTATTACTCGTCAACGCTTGCGTATCAGGATACTCTTGTGGTCAATTACATGAAGTACGGACGCATTATATCAAACAGGTAGAAGTACCTAAAAATTTCGTATTATACCGGAAGCTACAGATGAGAAGGAAATTATGATCCAGGCGAACAAGATAATTTAACTGACAGTGAAATTGGAGACAGCAAACATAGTAGCGACGAAGAGAATTTAAAGCCTTAAAGAGTTCATAGTCTCTCTCAAAGACACCCCTCCGCGACATTTAGTTTTTCAACTAGCGTTCACTATTTGTTCAGACGTCGTGCGGCCGCGTTATCTACTTTATGTAAAATGGATGGATACTGAGCTCGAAACTTACAACTGTTGAGTGTCAGTTATCCCTATTGTCCCAAGCATGTAGATGGAGCTTACAGTCACATTTATTTGTGGCCCTTTTTCACTTGCTTCACCTACACATACTCAATGTAGATTTTTGCAGCGACCGCATTTTAACCAATACTCGCAGCCTCGAGGAGACCTTGCGACAGCAGTGGTGTACCCTTGAGTGCGAGTAAAATTTATCCACGAAGGATTTTTGAATATATGTTATATAATTCAAGCCGACGGTCGGTCACGTTAGCTGTAATTTGACTGTTATTAAACAAAGGTCCATTTAAATTAGCCTTTTATCGGTTAAGTTAAACACAAAAGGCGTACATTAAACAAGGCGTCCATTAAACAATTTAAGGTGCGCATTTGCAATTCCCTTTCGTATGGCTATGTCTATTTATATTTGTTCATTACGTAATAAATCACAGAATTGAATAAGATAGGGGAGCAAGCTCTGAAGCTTGCTCTTTGATATCAGTATTGACTTAGGAGAACTGAATTAGGTTGCAAACACTATACATCGGCAGTCAACGGAGAAAGAGTATGATGCTGTTAATATATATGTATTAACACCTACAGTATACTCAAGCAACGCGATCAGCCTTTTCTTATCAGTGTCCAGCATTACTTATGCGATCTAATCATTTTTGATCGTTTTTAAGCCAATCGGGCGCGTGCATCACAATATTGACTTAGCCATATGTTGACACCAATCATGCTTATTAACCTATGAGGAGGGACAGGCTAGATCTCACTTAGTACTGTTAAATCACACCTCACCGCGTTATTTACAGACAGACACGCAGACAGACACGCAAACACGCAGATAGGTACGATTAAAACACTAGACATTCAACCTTGCGCACAGTCACTAATAGCTTCATCCGTCGGTCTCGCAACTGTATTAGATATTGGGGTTTCAATAGCAACTTAAAAAAGGAAGGTGTAAATCCAGTATTGCATTGTTTCTTAAGATCAATATGATATCCGTTAGTTATTGGTGGGTGGTGGCTATCATCATTTACCTAAGAGTATCGAGTATTCCAATTTACAGCCACTCCTTTCCTATCTTCCACTGAATATCCCACCCATCTGCGTCTTCATTATCGACCTGGGATTTCACATTTGGCTTTCAGCAGCACTCGAACCAGCAATTACTACTCCTTAACGACCACCTATCTTATCTGTTCGTTTTACAAATGTAACCTATCATGAACGGGTCTTGTCTTGTGATGAGCAGTGTGCAAGCCAATGGTAGTAGGAGGCACACAACGAGCGATACATGCATACAGTTTTTAATGCCAAGATCCATTGCGTATCCAACGATCATCGACTACACGAATAATCATGCCCTAGACGTGCAAACACACACGCAATGTACGAGTGGTATCGTCTAAATGTTGTTTTTTTGTCAGGTGACAAACCCAACTTATTGGGTCGACATTTGCTCGAACTTCTAGTCTTTACGAGTGTATCTTTCTTACTTCCCAGCCTTCTATGCTGCTTAGGTTATCGACGTAGCTAAAACCGGCAAGACATCAATATAGTATTTAATACGCTTCTTCCAGGCGGTAGACACCAGCTTCGCGTTGCAAGTGCAATCGACTTTAAAAATCATGGTACACCAAAAAATACATGGCTAAGAATCGGATAGCTAAAAGTATATATGTGGACATTCCGGCTTAAGTTAGTATCGGCGAATTAGTTCATGTCCTTACTTTTTATAACAATTCGAAGCTGTAAAGCAAGCACAATTTGTCGTTTACATTATCGCTACAGTTTGCTAGCCTTCGTAAGAATAGCTACAGTATGCCGAAGATGTGGTCGAGGTGTCACGACGACGCCACGCGGTGAATAATTTACGAGCGAACATTGAAGCTATATGAGAGATCACTACGTAAACAACTGCAACGACGACACGTAAAAGGTGATGATACATATTTGGCACGCTGAGGCTGAGCCTTGTCATGAAAGGTGCAGCTGGGATAGAATAGAACGGTCAGTGCATCATGTATCGGTCGCATACGTCCAACAATGACTGTTCACCAGACCCGTCACTTCGATGTCGACTGCTCCCATAGACTACTCGGCTACGATATCTGGAACCGGCATTAAACTGAACCGCGCCTTCCGCTGTGTCACTACTTTGAATTCTCTATTTCAAGGTTGCCGCAATGTCGGTAGGGATGCCCACCACGAGTTAGACTTCAATGTGCCGAACGACACGAAAGCAGTAGAAAAGTACGGAACAGCATCATTTATTGGCGTGGATGGCGGCCATAAAAGTCTCCCAGCAGACGATGATAATTCAGATCTCCCTTGATGGTCACGAGCGTCGCCTCGCAGGTGGAACAGCTCTGTGGGCATATCCCAATAGTAAGTATCGAGGTCTTTGAAAAATGTCCGATTGGATCACAAGCTTGTCATTCTTGACATATGTAGCCAAACGCTTACACAAGCCTGAACTTCGCGCGTACGTGTCTCACACTGGATCGCAGCAACGTGTTCACGAACACCATAAACTTTTGCGTCTGACACGTATACGGGTTCAACCTTCACATTCAGCGTAACCTTGCCACACCAGTTAAGATTTAGCAAGTGGTCAGCCAGTCAGGGTCAAGTAAAAGGCCAGCACATACACTGTCATAGCTGTAGTGCAAGCTCAAGCTCTTTACGAGACAGTTTCCGCGCCTGTGGTCGAAATGCTTGATAGTCTCATCGGTATGATCCGCAAGCAACAGCTCATCGTCGACATCAAATGACGCGTTAGTGCCTATTACAGTATATATTTTTCCTCGTTGTAGCACCCGTCAGCCTTGTTGCTCCATAGACACAACTTGGCGATCCCTATCATCGATCACGACGATTCTGCGACTGAACCTCATTGTCCTGAGCTGACAGACTCACCGCGGCTGCACCAAGGGAGCGACTTCTTTCAGCTCTGCGACCATAGGTGGGTGCAACGGATCAATGCCAACCGTATTGTACTCGGCCGGTAGTAGCCCAGATAGTACGTGAACTGCTTTATCCTAAATCATGGAGCGTTTTGCCATTTGTAGCTTTTGCAGCTGGTTGGCATTACATCTTGAGAAAAAACATTTACACAGTGATGTAGTGAGCTCACCTAGCGGCTCTCCATTCTTTAACATCGTCAGTCCGCACGGTGGCATCAACTCTTCCGTAGCATGGATTTCTTCGTTGAGAATTCGTCCCTTTTTCAGTTAAGCATGCAAAACTACGCCTTCCTACTACTGAGCGATAAAACATCTCCGTGCATCAAGAAGTATCCAGGTGCAAGCTGCATCACTTATTTATTCTTCGCGCAATCCGTATTCGACGCCTCCTTCTTGTTCACCGACTCGGAGATCCCCGAGGCAACTGCATGACACATGTCAGGCACGTCAGAATGGCCCAGAGGCGGGTGCTCAGCGAACGACTCGACAGTCATGAGCTTCGAGGGCTCAACGATGACCATGCACACATTGCCCGGCTTACAAACTTGAGAGCCGCCTCAAGCATCTTATTGAACGACGGTCCATCTTCGCCGTATTTTGTTCATATTCGCACGCAACGTGGGCCGTGGGCAGTGAAGCACCGGTGAGTAGCTAATGCCGATTTGACCAGGGCAATTTAACACGAGCACATAGGCGGTAAAGTCCTGAGTGCTCTTGGAAGAGTTGTTTTTCGAAACCACGAGGCAGCTCCTTCACCGACATGTTCTTAGTGCTATGACCATTATCATCCCCGGAAGAGTCTTCGACAGACATTCGTGGTGCATCTCAACAAACTTGATTTCGTCGATAGACCCACGGACCAAAGTAGCGACCATACTACGCATGACGGCAGCAGCCTTACACACGTCAAACTGGTCCCGTATAATACCGTTAAATTTGTAGACGCCCTGGAGAGGCAGAGAAAGCGGCTTGTCCGACAGACGCTTGGACAGGATCGGTTTGTCCAGCGCCTCGAAAAAGTACAGGTCCTTATACCACGTCACATGGGCGTCCAATCATGATAGCTCCCTTTAGCCTAGATATCGGTACGGACGAAATCCTGCGGGTTGTAACCTACCTTTGTCGAGCACGTCGTCCCCTCCGACTTGACTTCCTCGTTATGACCTTGCCCAAAGTCGCGAGAATAGTGCGATCAAGTGCACAACAAGCAAGAAAACGACCGTTATTGCCACTCGAAATGGTAGACTCTTTCGGTCGTCGCCTGATGGTAGACTCTTTTGGTCGTCGCCTAATGGTAGACTCTTTTGGTCGTCGCCTAACGCCGAGGTCCGTGGCATAACACAGCGGCCGAAATATCATTGCCGTCTATAGGACCAAGCAGATATCAAGCGGAAGACGTACACCACTGATAAGGCAGTCACCTGTTGCGAATCAGGGGGAATTGCTCGGCGGTTGTCGATGGAAACACACATAGCCTAAGAAGGCAAAGAAAACGACACAAGTGCCTTGTGGGCGAGTGTCATCCGCGTTTTGGCATGAATGTACTTGGTTCGCACGTAGGACATTCAGCTGCGACACGTAACTCGACACGAAAACGGGCAGCACGTGCGCCAGCGCTGCAAACTTCGGATCAAACTCGTCTGCTGGCTTCCCTTGGAATGTGCGCAGTAAACTTGGGATTTTTAGGCACCGCTCGATCGCCACGGGATGTAGCGCAGACACAGCAGTACAGCATATTTGCCAAATGGAGCGTGTAGATGATATACAGCAGACACAAGGGTGTGGCCACAAGTAAACGACCAATGGGTCGGCGTATCGTGATATTCACTAGAAAAGGCTCGAAGAGGTCTATGGCAATCACCATGTAGCTCCGAAGAGACGAGAGCTCAGCGCCTCGAGCCGAAAGAAAATGGTTCCATAGGCTATACGAGGCCTGGTAGAGTTGAAAGACAGGCACCTGTAAGACCAAGGAAAAACGAGAAGGCGAAGCTTGTAGTTGAATATGTGACAGAGCAGGGTCTAAGGGGTAGCCGAGGCAGCACGACCCGACCGCTTCGGTGACGGACTCTTTGCCGCGCTGATTGTCTTCGGTAGAGGCGATGAGACCATAAAAGACATTTGAGAAATGGGAGCGACACACATAGTCGAAGATCGGACTTTAAGTGGTGACATGCAATTCATTTCCATCAGAATGGCTGTACGTAAGTCGCATGAGTTGCAACTCAATCATAAACTCACCGATTTGCATCTCCTGATCAAGGTTAAAAGCAACATGTAATGCGCCTATTACTGAAGAACCACACAGGTGAGGAATTTAAGACATTACCACATGCGAAGCGACTGGACAGGTAAACACGACATGAACCATTGAGCAACAAATTCATTTACAGTTATTTTGACTACTACTTCTTGGTCTTTGCCTGATTGCAATATTTGTTGTACTTCTTCAGGATATTTTTCAACATCCACCCTGGTATGTCGACTCCAGTCGTCCCTCGCAACGATGAGATCGTATTGGTAGACGGACTCGGCACTTGACGCTTGATGTCAACGTCCGAAATCGAAAAACCGGACCAACCAGAGTTCAGATGCCTGGTCAACTGATCTTCTGAACTTATTCTTTTGTCACTAAGCCAGTGAGTAAACTGCCCTAACTGCAATTTCTCACCTATTTCTTTAGTGGCCCTGTACGACAGCAACACCTCGATGATTGCGGCAGTTCCAAAGACGTTCATGTGCGGCAGAAGAGTTTGATACATTTTGATTGGCGAGCCTACCTCTACAGCGTGCGCATACCACCTCTTGAAATCTTTGCCACCAGCATATGTGACTATTGCTCCTTCATCACGGGTTAGTTTCTCATCAACCTTGCGAAGTTCGAGCTTGCTTTGCGCTAGCATCTTCTCGTGCGATTGATAGCGATCCCGTGCACGATCCATTTGTGATTTACATGCGGTGGCCCCGAAGGGGAAACAGTTCATATCGTCCAGCCGTTTCCGGCTCTGCATGACGTCTTCTGTGAGATCTTCGACACGTTGATAGATCGCAGCTTGCATCCTCAAGGTCTCGTCAATCTTTACTCGCTGTGGGAAGTGGTAAAGAGCCATCTTTGAAAAGGCTGTGTCGACCGGTTCTTTCCGGTCAAGAAGATACGGTTTCAGAGGCGGGATTGCATCGAGAACGGAGTTTGATACCGGATTCTTTAGCTCTCCTTGGTCAACGCCACGAAGTTTAGCCAGCCAACTTGGGGTTCTGAAATTCACGGCGTGAGAGGCTAGCGGGAGGGAAGCGGCGACAACGACGAACGGGATGAACGAGAAGGTACTCCTCATGACTTGATGGCGGACTCTTGGTTCGAATAGATGGAGACGGTGGGGCTCGATTTGGAAAGTGAGGTGTTCGATCAGTTCGAAAGACCAGTGAAATGACTGGTGCGAGCTGCAAGTGCGTAATTACGTCAGGTTTCGTCAGGACCGGTCCATTAACCGGTGCGGCAGCTACAAGGTCGTAAAAACGCCACGTAATTTACGCACTCGCAGCTGCCACAACCAGTCAGGACCAGATCTCAGTGGTGACATCGCGTAATTTACGCGCTCGCAGCCGCCGCTGCCAGTCAGTACCGGACCTCAGTAATTACGTCACGTAATTTACGCACTCGCAGCTGCCGCAGCCAGTCAGTACCAGATCTCAGTAATGACACCGCGTAATTTACGCGCTCGCAGCTGCCGCAGCCGCCGCAGCCAGTCAGGACCAGATCTCAGTAGTGACATCGCGTAATTTACGCACTCGCAGCTGCCGCAGCCGCCGCTGCCAATCAGGACCAGACCTCAGTAATTTCGTCACGTAATTTACGCATTTGAAGCTACCGCAACCAGTCAGGACCAGACCTCAGCTTTAATCACCTTAGTCTGATTCTGGCGACCATTAAAATTAAATTCGTCTGGTTAAAAATACTTCAACTTGCTCGTACATACAATTTTGCACCGCACATAAATACCATTAGTCTTAAGAAACTTAGACGTGTATGATGTCAGCGATCGTGCACGCGTCTTCGCGCTATGCACCACGCGAGAATATTGTGACATTGAAGACATTTATCTCTGTAACGGTGTTAGATAAATGGTTGTGACATCCAGATACATAGGTGTGATATACACAGAAAGAGATCAGTATCACTGATCACGTGTGCGTTTGTATCACATTCGCTAAGTGATAATATCGTACTATATCGGTTATGGTTAGAAGATATATCGTAAGAGGGTCTTCAAAGAGGCTACGTTGTTCTGGTGTGGTACACTAAAAATCTATGATGAGGACTATTCGATCAGGTAGCATAGTTTAAGGGTAAACACGTAAGTAAGGTTGATTATCGCTGTATCAGTGCCAAGTGATTCCTTGGAGTCTTGATCCTTTGAGCCAGGACTAGAAGCATAAGAGCTTGTACAAACTTTAAGAGTTGAGTCTCACTAAGTCTGTAAGACTTGAGACCCTTTAAGCTGATACCCGTTTCGTGTGATATACTAAAAGAATTTATGAGTCTAGAGGTCTTCCTCTGACTAAGGAGTAAGGGTAGCTCTGCTACAATGTATGCATTTGTATGATTTGGGACCCCCTTTTTAACATAATCGGGAGTTGTTGGATATGAGCAAGCCTAGAGCTCGCCCTCTAATATGAGTGATCCAGTTCGGAGAGCTTAATTAAGTTGCAAAACACTTTTACAATAGCAGAAACTAAAGAACGGGTATGATAATATTAATCTCTGTATCTACTAAGTACAATTGGATGGTCAATGCTACCAGCCTTTGCTTATGAGCGTCCAGCATGTGCTCGTGTGAAAATGTTCATTTGTGATCGATTTTAAGTCTACCATGTACGTGTGCCACGAAAGTGACCTGGTCAAAGATTGACTTAAACCTACCTACAGTGCTCCCTCGATCCCTCCCGATAACTAACAGTTTACGCTATTATAAAGGATTGGGCGTCCACCAAGGTCGTTCGATGAGTGTTCATTGGACACTAACTTATAATTTGTAGCAAATAGCCACGAAGCGAGATATAAGTTTGTAAATGGATAATTTGTACCAAATTTGGGAGAGTAAACCTATTGAATGTAACGGGGAACAGGTCGCTTGTACTGACACATTACAAGCTACTTACACTGAACACAGAGTAAGGTGGTGCCACGAGACTTCACGTACACGCGTCGTGCAGAGGAGGGTTTCAATTGTTAAAAGTAGGAGATAAGTAAAGTAAATGACTTGTATAGTACCGCGCACCAGACGCGTTTCGCCCCCCCGCCGGGGGCCTCATCAGTGGTTTGTCAATCTACAAGTAAGACTATCCATACGTCTAGCTGCCGTACGACCTATAATAATGCATAGAACCCTAAAGAACATTCTAGACATATCCTATCATGGGTCGAATCTCTGGAGTCGAATCCAGTGCATCATGCACTTACAACACTCCCCCTCGAAGACATGAGATGCAGACCACTTTGGTATCGACCCGCCTGTAATCCTCACTGCTGCATCCGTGCACCATGGGAATCTTGATTGAGTCTTGCCCCTGCGCTCCAGCCAACCTCGATGATACCGAGCGTTCCAGGTATTCCAGCTCCCCCATCGTCCAGCACCATGTCACATATTGACATCTCGTAGTCGTCGTTCGCCTTGCATGTAGTTTCCACTTCTTCTTGAACACAAATACACTTGTCACCACTTGACTTGACTCTTCCTTCGATAGCACTCGCGCATTCAGACCATCTCGCGTCACCACCCTTGCACAAACCCTTTTCGACTGTACGCGAACCGTCAACGATCCCTGTCGATGAATTCTTCGGCGCCTTACTCGTGCATCGAGCGCCTTCTCTGACGGGGTGTCCCTCGCACAAGTTGGTCCTTGGTGAGGTGTCTGCAGCGAGCACTTGGGCTCATAACCTGTAAAAAGTAGGAGTTAAGTAAAGTAAATGACTTGTATATTACCGCGCACCAGACGCGTTTCGGCCCCCCCGCCGGGGGCCTCATCAGTGGTTTGTCAATCTACAAGTAAGACTATCCATACGTCTAGCTGCCGTACGACCTATAATAATGCATAGAACCCTAAAGAATATTCTAGACATATCCTATCATGGGTCGAATTTCTGGAGTCGAATCCAGTGCATCATGCACTTCCAACATCAATACGAGAAAAGGGATAAAAGTAGAGCTATATTTAGCATAGATAATCTCCTAAATCCTATGTAGTCGTCTTTTAAAAAAATTTAATACGGTCATGTACTGTAACTATCAGCTCACGACTCATTGCGTTCTTCTGTCGTGGCTCGGCTTTACGGGTTGATTTCATTTATCTACATCAACCAATGAGCAATGCATTACTTACGCAACACAATATTGCTTGTCAAGCCATAACATTTAGATTACATTGTTTTCTAACATATTTTTCATACTTGATATTTACCTAGCGTAACTTTTGTGCAACGGAGGCACCCCGTTACAGATATTGCACTCTTTAAGGAATGACACGGATATCTCCTTATATGCTTGGCCACTAGGAAGGATACGAATTTGTTACGAAGACTTCCTCAAATAGCATGTTGGAAATAAATGCTGCATTTCTGTGCTACCGTGGAAGAGTGTACCAATTGAGAAACCTTCAAAGAACACTTGCACAAATTACCGTAGTTAAAAAGTCGGCAGAGAACGTCGAGGTAATGCATCGTATGATGCTGATGCGTGTACACACAGGTGTCTCAGCACACATTTACGTATATTATAAATGGTGGATGGCATCGAAAAACATATGCCGCGTAAGAAGAAAAATCACGAGTCCTGGTGTCCTTCAATAAGCCGCGCTGTCTTCTACTCAAGCGACTACAGCGGAGAATTTGGCCGAACGGGTGAGAGTCTTAGCGTGATCAACACGCACGTAAACACCGTAGATGTATATCATCTTTGACCACATAAATTTTTCTGATGCTCTCACAGGTGTTGTCGCATTTAGTCGCAACGGCTGCTTAGTCGTTCTTCTTGACGATGTTGAGCGACGATCACGACATGTCGGTCCCTATTACTGGCTGGGCCTGAATACCCAAAACACATTGGCCAGGATCACTTCCATTTACCCAAACAAATGGTATTCTGTCCAATGAGCAAGAAGAGATTCCCTTCCAATCGCGACGGTGTCTACATAAAAAGCGGTGGTGCCTACATCAAAATAGCTACAAATTCTAGATTATGGACGACCATGTCCTGACCAATACCGACGGCGTCCGAGCTAATAACGTTTCCTATCCACCCGAAACAAGCGTTTTGCCCAAACGAAGCTATACTCTGACAACTACTCTCTCGTCGTTGCAGCGACACAACCAGCTAAGAACTGGTCTGATCCTCCGTCCATGCTCTAAAATTACAAAATGCTCTATTTCTCCTTCCCAAAAAACCGGTTGTTTTTCTTCACTTGCGTTCAGTAGGCTCGCCCGCTCTCTCTGCACGTCTCGCTATTCTCAATACACCACGTGGTCAGAAAGCCGCCACAGAACTGTCCGACTGTCCATCCGTCGTCTCCCAGCCAGCACTTGCTCGAAGTCCGTTCGTCACTTTTCGAACATTCGCCACTGAACGCAACCGCTTCTTGTCGCCATTTGTGCACTGCATTAACAGCTGGTGCACAAGAATGGCAGACGCAGCAGCGAGTGTGACGGAGAAAGCCGCCACGGAAGACCTGACGCCATCGTCGACGATTCTCGATGGCATGCGCGTGTATTTTGTCATTGGAGCTGTTGGGTGGCTGGCGTTTGAACTCGGTCGGGCCAAGCTGCACCGAGCGTACTACTGTCGCGAGAACAAACCCGAGACAACAAACGAGACCGTGACGAGGTGTCATGATGCCACTGTCTTTGGCTGGGTGCGACTGCTCTTTTGTACCCGCGATGACGCGATTTTGGCCCATTGCGGCATGGACACGCTCTTCTTCTTCCGTTTTCTGCGACTTTGTGAGAAAGTAACTGCTGTGGGCATTTTATGTTCGGTAGCGAATTTCCCCATCTACTACTACGCCAAGCGCGACTCGTTGGATGCACTGTACATGATGACGTTATCACACTTGGAGACCGACACGACGTGGCGCTTTGGATTTACTGTCGCGACAATGTACTTGATCTCGTTGACTGCCTGTTTTCTGCTCTGGAAAGAGTACGAAGAGTATATCCGGCGACGGCACGAGTTCATGTCTCGGAAACACGCGCAACAGTATACTGTTGTGCTTAATGGATTACCACCGAACCTTTGTACGCAACAAACGCTCGGCACGTATCTCGAGCTGCTGTTTCCCAAATCAGTTCTTCACGTGTACGTGGCTCTGGAATGTCACAACTTGGAAAAGCTCGTGGCTGAACGCGTGAAAGTGTGCGCAAAATTGGAGCACGTGCTCGCACAAAGTGCGAAAACAGGAGACCGTGTGCTGACAAGCAAGAAGTCAAAAGGGCTGCGAAAAGGAGAGGAAGTTGACGCAGTGGAGCTGTATCAAGATCAGCTGAAGCAGTTGAACAATGCTGTGGAGAAGGAGATGACCTCGATTCTGCGCAGCCAAGCAGCGGTGACTAGACATCTCGTGGAGTCGAGTACGGACGATGATGGACGAAATTACAACCAGAATGTTGACTCGACAAGTTGTCTTGATTATACATTCAAAGAAGACGACTTGGACGCCGATGCAGTGGAATCCATGTACATTAAGGGACTCAAGCGACAGGACAAGAAGGGGCTTGGAATTATGCGGCCAGCTGGGTTTGTCACGTTTCGAAGTCTCAAGGCAGCTCAATCGTGCACTCAGATCCTGCAGAGTGCTGATCCGACGAAGATGCACGTGGAGCCTGCTGATCATGCTGACGATGTAGTGTGGCCGAATATTGGTTTATCCAAGAACATCAAGGACACGTGGTTCATGATTTCGATGGGTCTCAGTACTGCTATCATCTTGCTCTGGACAGTACCCACGGGTATTGTGGTGTCTTTTGCCAAGGTGGACTCGCTAGAGAACCAATGGTCTTGGCTTGCTCAGGTGGTTCAGGACTACCCGTGGGTCAAGTCTTTGCTGGAGCAGATCTCTCCTTTGATGCTATCCATCATGACAGCTCTGGCCCCGATCATTTTCGGGTTTCTTTCGCAGCGTGAAGGTCATGCTTTTGCGACTCAGGTGGATGCCTCGCTGCTCAACAAGTTGGTGATCTACCAGATCTACGTTACTTTTTTGCTGCCTATTATTGGTGGTGTCGTCATTGATGCCGTCATTGGATCAGGTGAGTCCAATCTCACGGACGTGAGTGCTATTCTCACCATCATCAGCGACTCTGTTGCAGTCCAGTCGTCCTTCTTCATCACATATCTTCTGGTCAAGACCGGGCTCAATTTGACATTAGTGCTGCTACGTGTGGTTCCTATCGTCAAGGCTGCTATCTATGAAGTCTTTGCTCCTAAGCTCACACCTCGCGAACGTTCGTCCGCGTGGCTTGGTCTGAACTCGCTGGCGCACCCTGGAAATTTTGGTGCGTCCGACCAGGTGTCCGAGTATTTTTTAGTACTGATGCTTGTGCTGGTATTCTGCGCCATTGCTCCCATTCTCAACTACTTTGCGATGATTTACCTGCTGCTGTCGGACCTCGTGTATCGTTGGGCAGCCATGTGTGTGCATGACCCATCAACCAACACATCGGGCACGTTCTTTCCGTCGCTGTACCGATTTATCATCGGTGCACTCATGTTTTCCCAAATTATCATGGCATCGGTGCTGGCTACGAAACAAGTGGCGCTCCCGGCGTCGTTCTCGATCGTCTTGCCATTCCTGACGTTGGCCTTTCACCTGTTCGTGTCGTCCCGCTATCCCGCAATCGCTTTGAATCTCCCACTCGACCAAGCCGTGATGATCGACTCGCGTCGCTCGCGTCAAATGGACGATCTGGAGCAAGTGCTGGAGGATATGTACAAGCAGCCAGCGATGCTTGAACGCGGCCCATTGGAGCCAGATTACCAAGGACTGTGCAGCGACCCTAATCCGGAAAACCAACTCGCGTCACCGCCGCCTGTCGAGGTACGAGCTTTGCCAGCTGATGAGTACTGAATAACTATTGACTGACCTTTTCGATGTCGTGTGTAGTATCCGTCGCAGTTTCGATCTCAAGACAAGCAGGTCCGCCCGCCGGTATAGACCTTCGTTATTTTGTTCCAAGTTGTTTGTTCCTTTTGCATATTGCAAGATTGTAATACAACATCTTAATGACCGTACACTTGCATGCGTTTTTTGACAGAAAAACACTCGAGGAAGCAATTACCCGCGTTTCAACAAGAACACGGAAGGCGACAAGCAAGAGCAGCGCCACCACAAGTCGGCTGGTGGACTTGTATAATTTGGCTTCAGATCGGACTGACCAGAACAAGTAGTAACAGCAGTACATCTGACCACGTGCTGACCCTTGACGACCGTTTGTAATGTTACGACTGACCCAATGCCCTCCCACAACGACTGAGCCCTTGGCTCCAAACGACCAGCCACAATTCACGATCTTGGTAGCATCTTCAGACAACCCGGTCAAGTGGGAATATAATCATCCTGGATGGAGGATGAAGACTGCAAGAGTCATTGGGTTACGAACGTGTTTACGAAAGACGGACCGGGTTGACTTGACTTGAAGCGGCTATCTTGACTGACTACTGTGAATATCCAGCGTCAACAGAGTAGGTATCTGATGCGTCGACTAAAAGCTCCAGAAGCCCATAGAATACAAACGTGCCTCTGCAACACCGCGAACTTCGCGGTGAGGACTCCTTGCCAACTGTGAACCGTTTTGCAGACGTTACTTTGCAAGTGCTTCAACTAGACGCTGCCATCGAGCACTTCCAAGTAACTGCCTGCTACGATTCAGACACAATAGAGTATGGTTCCTCCTTCGCCTCTCGTCACTGTACAAGACCCGAACGAGAGGTTGACGCAGCCCTTTTCCACTGTAAACTCCACCTGACCACACTTGCACCCGCTGTCGACCATCTGACAAGCGCTGCAACCTGTTGACCACGCAAACGGTCGCAACAGCACAATTATTGCACACGCCGCCTGTCGTGCGTGACGACTCGAGCAAAGAGGCGAGGACAATCAAGTTTTCGCCAGTTGGTAGTTCACCGTCACTACCGACTTGGCATCGACCTGCGTCTTATCCTTCTCCACCGTCTGACCATCATCATCGTCCTTGCCAGCTTTGTCCCTGTGTAACTTTTAGTAAGAGACTTGATAGTCCATGCATTCTCCACTGTCCATCTCGCAGATCTCGCTGTCTCAGTCGTATGGATCCGAGTACACGAGTCACGGTCACGGGGGCCGCAACAATGGCAGCTTGATGTTTGACGTCGAAACGCCGTCGGCTTCTTCCGCGACCAAAGACTTTTTGTACCAACGACAAGTTGCACCGAATGCTGTGCCCGTTCTAGTGAGACTGCAGCGGAACCGGATCCTCTGGACGGCACTTCTAGGCGTCGCGTTGATTGTAGTCGTGATGGTGTTTCTCCAACAAGGCATTGTGCTCAAGTCGTACGCCGTTTCAACCGAAGCTTCAACCAGTGGAAGCTCCAGTAATATTGACACCTTCAACTTCATCGCGGGTCTTTTCACAGCAGCACTGGTAAAACCACTGCTCGCATTGGTATCTGCAGTCGTGCCAGCCGTGCTCTTGTGCTTCTTCACACGGTTGACGATGCAGGAGAAAAAGTCGCGATGGACGCAGATTTCGCTCACCTTGGTGGGGACTGTCGTGCTTTGGTTCCTCCTGAATGGGTTCATGGCAGTACATGTCAGTGAGGAGCTTGTCCGTGAAGACGTAGTCATTGGCGACGATGACCTCTACGAGAACAACTCCGTCTCGGTCTTAACGACTGGAAATACGTCGTCGAGTGCTGACACGTTCCTGCGGAGTGCGATAAAGCTACCGGATGCAACCGCAGAACATGCTGCTGGACAGTGTCGTCGAAGTTCCCCTCGACGACTGCCAGCGCAACTCGATTACGGGTTTCAATCTCGTCTGTGGTTTGGCACATTGCTGCCATATGCACCGGAGACGACAAGCACGAATACGATTTCAGTGTCAATGATGGCCGATGATAACCTTGAGTCGAAAGATGAGGTGAAGGTTCCGATGAAACTATCTACTGCTCGTGACCTGGTGAGCTACGCAATGCGTGCTACGGACGACTTTCTTCGGGAACAGGACGTTGAAGCAGATGCCAGTGTGTTTAATTTTTTCGGCTTACCCGATACGTTTGATGTAGCATCATCAGAAGACGTGGGCATGACTCAACTGCTGATCGAATCCTTCAACAACACAATGAATCGAGCCGTCAATACGCGAGAGCATTTGAGGAATCTCAGTATTGCTGAGAGCAGCGTGGAATTCGTGCAGTTTCCCTGGTCAACAGACAGTGGCAACTTGGTGTTTGAAGGGGTGACGCTGGACATCCCCATGACCAAGAATTTCTTACGCCGGGACGTGAATTTCCGTAACGACACGACGCACTCGGTAGAGTATGGATCACGGGTACCGAGTGGGTTATTCGAGATCAACGCCAAGGAGGAGTGTGGTCGTTTTGGTTGTATCGTGAGTCCCGTGGGAGCTGCATTGACCACTGCTCCAGCTGATGAAGGAAGTCAAGTGCGGGCGTTGCCAATTTGTCTCGATGAACATGGTAATGAAGACTACAAAGCTACGATGGATGTCAACAGTAAGGAGTGCGAGCATCGCTCGACTACTTCGATGCTTGTGCTTAGTTTCGCCAAGCGAATTGTTGGCGACTCCATTCGTTCATCGCTTGTAGGCGATTCAAAAGACGAAGCACTTGTCGTGACGCTAAGGAACGCACGGAAAATCTACCAGGTAACTGCAGGTCGGTTATCTTGGAAAACCATGGATCTCGCTTCCAAGTACGGTGCTTCTTGCGAGGCCAGCGATTGCAGCGGCCTTGTGTTTCCGCTTTCAGGTAGCAATCAACAGGTTGTTGTCGGCAAAAACTACATCCCGGTGAACAACTTGACATCTTATACGCCTTCATTGCTGTCATGGACCCCGCTCGTGTCTGCTAATGCACAAGAGGTGGACATGAGTGACATCCTCAAGAGTGATTTCGTGTTCCCTGAAAATTTCCAGGATACCAGTGGCTGGACCCCAGTCGACGGGTTTCGTTGTGAACGCGAACGTGGCGTTTTTCTAGATCGTGTGCAGAATTTGCACCTGTACTCGGAACAATCTCTGCAACCAGCATACACGTCAGCGCTCTTTTGGTTATTCCAGTATGGTGCCGTGAAGCAACAGCTCAGTCCGTCGGAGCTTTCGTTCAGCGAGAGTGTCAAATACGTGGATGTGACGTTATCTGTACCGCCGCTCTCCGCCACATTCACCTTTGTTGGCTGTGTCATGCTGGTACTCATGGCAGCACTGGTATTTCTCGGAGGCAAGAGTCGCGAAGCTGAAATCGAGCGGTATTTCAAACCGCATAATCTGGCTCGGATACTTCTTGACGACGAAGCATTTTCGCACAAACTACTCAAGTGTGACTTGCTGAACGTCGGGGATAAGTATCTGAACAGCTCCGAACTTCTTGATCAGTTTGAAATCAGCGGACTGGCACTTCGCCATTGCAAGCGCCCGAATGACGTATTAATCGTGCCAAAGGTCCGACAATCTCCCACGACTTCCGCTGCATTAGTTCAGGCAGCACATGTCGTGTAAGTAGCGTAACCATTTACTATAGACTTTTTATTTACCACGATTTGGAAGTCCGTTTATTCGTCGAGCTACGAGATGCAAGTACAGGATGCCACGAAAGCCTCGTCAAGTCGTCTTATGCATCTTGTCTTCGACGGCATTGGTTTGAGTTATAGCAAACACGTGGTGTCGTCGGCGATTGAAAGATAGGACCCATGACGATTCCTGTGCGTTGCTTGATAAAGCAAGACTATATGCTATGATGTGTCAAGCGACACGATCACATCTCAACATCGAGGATTAACTTGACGATTCATTATCATTGATTGCATCCCTAACTGTGCAAACCTTTGGTAATAGACGTACTCGCATCGGACTCCGACAAAGTTGTAAGCTTAGCCACAAGGTTTACAAGCGAGAACAGTTGCAATTTATTGTTTGTTTTGGCTTACGATGAAGTGTATTCAAGGAAGCAGGACATCAGTAGCTGTGAGAGTTCCTGGGACAATCTTGAATGCCCTCTGATACCATAAATGTGTACGAATGTGAAATAGCTGCGCTGATCTAGCTGTACAATCTTTTTGTCCATCTGGAAGACGTGGTAGGTCCGACTATAAAGCAAGTATAAAGACGATAGTTTCACATTCGAAATCGGAATTTAGTTGCTCAGTTTCGAGTAGCACCTTGACCTGCGCTCAATAAACTGTTACCCTAAGCCAGCAACAATGTCGTATACTTAGTCGGCTGCTGACGAGAAAGGCATAATCTAGCCCGAAACGTGGCACCTAGCCAGACTCGCACCGTTCCGCATATTTACGACGCACAAGCTTCGGCTTACATCTATTTACACGAGTCGCAAAATCCCCTTGAATAAATTGACCACAAATATCGAATCCTGCGCTTGTAAAGTTGCCGGATGATTTTACTAGATGCGCACAGGAACGTAATTACATGTGTGTATACTTGTATGAAAAGCGTACTAGTCACCGCAATCGTATACTTGCAACAGACAGCAAGTTGAAGTGACCGTCACTCTTGCTTTCCGCACAACATGGAGATGACGAGCAGCGTCATGCGCTTTGCCTTAGCCACGTACTTTATGAAGCAAAGCGGTCGGTCCTGTCCGTCTGAAGTCTACGACACGTCGTCATGGGCGCTTTCCTCCTCCCCCTCTTCTACTTTCGGTACTCCGCCCACTCCTGCACTTTGTCCTGAAGACGAGACCGAGCTAAGTCCGGAATTCTCAGACGTCGTGTCGACGCACCTGTCGACCTTAAGGAAGCTGCTCGTAGAGCAACGACTCCAGGAGTGGTCAGAAGGCATCATGGGGCTTCGAGAGTATGTAGCCACCAATGGACTAGTAGAGGCACTTGTGACATTGCTGGTGCGATTACTTGAGAAACAAGAGCAAGACGCAGTGTCTATTGTACAAGGTAAATACATTTAGGAATAGAAACTCGTAGAAACAGTGTTTGTAATCATGGGTACATTCTAAGCACATCTAAACGATATTTCTATGCAGTGATCGAGCACATTTGCTTTGAGAAAAACGGAGAGCCATCTGAGGTGTTCGACCAGGTACGAAGTTGGTTCTCCGCAACGAATTTCTGCCACATTCTGACGGATTGCTTTCATCATTGTGCTAGTTGATGGATTTGATTTTTGAAGCACTACGTCATAGTTGTGAGAACAAGAACAGGTCTGTGGCATTCTGGCTCCTGCGAGCAATCAATGGCGTTGTTGATGGCCTACATCAACATCAAGGACAGAAATACAGAGTGTCGCCACAACATCAGCTCCGGCTGGACAGCCAAGAGTTGGGAGAAATGATCACAAAGGTGATCCACGACTGTCTAGCCAAGTCGGCAAACATCGCTGCTAAAACGTAACAAGCATCAACAAGAGACGATCCAGCTCACAGACTTGTGTTTCTTTACTCTTCTTCGCTTTCATGAGTCCACGCTGGCGGTCCAGCACTGACATGTTCACAAGTTCAGGAGACTCACTATGCGGCATCTTTTCCCTGTAAATCTGGATGGCGTAATCCCCACTTGCACCTTCCTGCTCCACCGTCACGGTGATCCGGTGCGTATTATACAGGACCGCCGCTTAACCATTCTTCATGGCGTCCTTCACGAAGTTAAACGAATCATCCTTCTTTTTCATGAAGCCGAACCCCGAGTCGGATGTGAGGCTATCGGCCGGCTCCTGGATTGTTTTGGCGATATAACCTGTAGGGGTCATCGCAGCTCCAATCACCTGAGAGCCAGGGTTGCCACCCATGCCTTGCATTTGTTGCATCTGCATATACTGCATTTGCTGCATTTGTTGCATGTACTGCATCTGTTGCATCTGCTGCATCTGCGCTATTTGCTGCGGCGTGTTAAAGTTTATCATGGTCATGTTCATCGGACCGCCATAACCCTGACTTATCGATGGCGCTGTCGGCATAGGCTCGAGAAGCGGGTCCAGCACCATAGTTTGGTTCGTCGACGATGTGGGAGCTGGAGCTGCGGGAGCAGGGGCCTGAACTGCAGTTGGTGCTTGAGGTGCTTCAGGTGCGGCTGCCGTGCTCGGCGTACCACTCTGAAGCTGCAAACCGCCAAACATATCCGACACATCATGCGCCGACGGAGCAGGCTGCGAGGACTCTTGTGCTGGCTGCTGGGGAGAAGCATTTGTATGTAGTCCAGAAAAGAGCGATCCACTGCTGCCTGCGGGAGGAGCGTCATCGAAACTTCCCAATAGATCAACTTCTGCTGCTGCAGCTGGCTGCTCCCTGCTACTATAAGGCTTGCTCTTCGACTTGGGCAACTCGCGACTGGAGCTCGATGCCTCAGCAGAAATACCAAGGTGATGCAAAATCTTTGTAGCACGGTCCCGTACAGCAGCCTTCTCTGACTTCGCACAAGACTCAATCTCGCTATAACTTTCAGCAAAGTACTCTTCGAACTCCTCGCAGCCATCTGTCTTCAGCAAAGCATCAATTGTTGCCAGGGCTTTCGACACAACCTTGATTCCACAAATAGCCAAGTCTGCATCAGATACACACTATAAAGTTGAAGCGATGAAGAAAAACCGTACCGTCCACTGATCGTCTGACAGACAATCCTCTAAGATCGGTCCGACAATTTCGGCGTCCAATGTAATCGCGCTTTTCAAAAACGCATCCATCTTGTCCTTGGGAGGAATAGCACGCATACCGCCAGGAGCACACAGAGCCGTGACCAGATTTCGTTCGTACGAGCCATCCGATTGGGCGCCAGAAGTCTGGCCGGAAAGTACTGCGGATTGTGGAAAAGGCCTCGATCCCTGAGCAGGCTCGCGACGCTTCGCGTCATCATACTCGTAGTCTGGGTTCCGAGAGTACGAGCGGGTATTGCACGCGTTGCCCCCGAAGTTTTGCAATCGACTGTCGTGGCTAGTATTCGGCGTCATTCCAGTGGAGCTGCTATGAGACGAGGGAGTGTCAGTTCCAGTCCATGCACCTCCAACACGACCCTTCTTGCGGTCGCCATCTATTCACGAAATTGTCATTCAAGAATTTGATCAGCGCTCGATTAGATTCCACTCATCTGCAGAATCATTGCACAACGCACCGTAAGACTTTTCACGCAGTTGAGTACTGGCAGACTCGCGTGGGTCTTGTCCATGAGAACCAGGACGGTAACCTCCTCCAGTGTAGCCCGTAGGGCGATATGGCTCCTCTGGGTTGTAAGAAGGAGGCGTGGGACCATAGTTCCCGCTCGTGGGACCACGGTTCGTGGCAAAACTCCACCCATCTGGAGGATTTGCTGACCCAGGCGGGCCTCCACCAAACGTCGACTTGTCCGGCTTGGAATACTTCGACGCTACCTTCTCCTTCAATCCCTTAAAGAACCCTTTCTCATCCGCTACAATGTGCAACCAAACCGTCAGCTAGTCAGTACACTACTCAATTTTCCAGCAATCCATTCAACAACTTTGCACCTCGTGGGTCTTGATACATCGGATTCCCGATACCCGAAAACTTCTGGTCATGAAACGGCGGCGGCGGAGCCCCTCCATACTGGTTCGGCGGCATTGCCCCTCCAAATGCCGGATTACCACCACCTCCTGGGCCTCCATACGATCCTTGCTGGGGATACTCAGGCTGGTACGGCTGCTGCTGTTGACCATAGGGTGCTGGACCTCCATAGCTGCCTTGATTTGGGTCACTCGGATACCCATAAGGAGCTCCAGCAGGTGGCGCGGCGGCACCATTGTATCCACCCATCGGTGGTCCAGCCATTGGCGGCGGCGACAACGAGCTATCATTCGAGTGTTTGCCGCCCCAAATCTTGGAGCTCCAGCCTGAACTCCCGCCCGTATTATTGTTCGGATTGGCTCCTACGCCCTGAATACGGGCCGACATGCCCATTCCGCTAAGTCCTGGCGTGTTGTCCGTGTCGTAAATGGCATCCAGACACTCCTTCGCCGACTCCCGCACTCGTCGATAGTACTCGTCCCCTTTCAATGGGTCCGGGACGCCTCGACATTCTGCCCAGTTTCCGTCGTCCCAAAATAAAAACAGAGAGGGTTCATTTGTCAGCAAAAACAAACGTCCCCAAAATAAATACCCAAATTAGACTCCGCGGTGCCGAAAATAAGAAAATAAATCCAAAATTAAACGTACGCAAACACTCTTTGATCGTCGGAATGTGCTTCTGCATCTCGCGCTTAAAGTCCACGCGGCCCTCGCGGCAAATGTGCTTGATGACCTGCAGCGCCTTGTACTTGACCGTGTGGTGCTTCTTCTTCACACGCGCAATGAGAAAGTCCTGCACCTTGGCGCACGTCTCGTAACTGTGCTGCGTCATGCGCGCGATCTCGCCGTACAGGTAGCCGGGCGTCGGTGCATCCTCTTTGCTCGTGGCGCGGGTCAGCACGGCCTTGTCCATTTTCGCGTGCTCTTTGACTGCGTGTTTGGTTTTGTTTTGGGTTGGATTATCGGCGCGGAGGGGCGAAATCGATGTCGCGACTGTAAGAAAAGCAGGGAGGGCTGACGTGCGCTCTCGACTCGGCTGAGGCTGCTCTGAAGTAACAGAAGCGGTCTCTTTTGCCTCAAATATTTGTTTCAACGCTGGCTGGAAAGGCGGAGAGACCTGCCGCTTCCCTCTCAAACCTGCTCGGGTAGTCGACGTGGCAGCTCGTCTTGTCTGTGTGACTACTTTTGTAATTTCAGGGAATTGCGAGCAGAGTGATGGTCGGGACGGTTCAGTGCAGCAAAAACAGCCGCAATGGGATGCGAATTTACACAAAATAGCCTTGATGCGGTGAGACGTGCATCCGAATTTGACCGAGTATTTCCGATCGCCATTGCACGCAACGCTTGTAGCGCCGCCGCCGCCGCAAGAATTTTGAATGTCAAGGTACTCTCTTTCACAGTCCATAGTTGTCCGTTTTCCTTTGTTGGCTACGGCTGATATGCAAAGAGGGCGTCCTGCTATTTTGCACCATTTTAATCGTGGGTAAATGGACCGATAACATGGAGGTTTGCCCGATACATCCGTTCGTTGGACGACAACATAGGAAAGAGAGCAAGCTGTGGCGATCGATCTTCATACGAGAACTGCTTCAGCGAATTGAACCAAATTGTTTTTCGGGCATTAACAAACTCAATACGGATAGTGGCGGCAGGAAGATGAGCTGAGTATCTTGAGTATGTACACGACCGTGTAAACGTGTTTGTTATGTGTAAAGCAATCGTTTAGAGTTGCGGTGTTATAGTGAAGAACGCTAACGAAGACGGACGACGGGTGATAGTTCCAGTGCATCAACAAGAACAGCAAAAAACGACCTACGTCCTGAATATAATGGATGAGGGGGGCAAATTACAGCGCTCTTCTGTCTTTGAGCGAGCAAGATGACCATGACCTCTCCTACTTGTTCTGTTCTCCAACAAGTACGTTTGAAAAAGCATTAAATGTGCAATTATTGCCTTTTAGTCCCCCCTATTTTTGTCTTAAAGCAACCTCTGCGCTGCCTTAGTAACGGGGTCACGTGAAGGTTGGAGAACCAGTAATAAATCACGGGTTGCAACCTTGATGCAATGTTTTTATGGAGGTATTAAGTGTGAATGCAAGATAGGCTGTCGGTAATATCGTACCCTATCGGCTATAGTAACATCATCAACAGGGCAGAACTAACTATGATATCCATCGACGACTGGCTTGGCACGATAGGCCTACCATAGCAAGCAGTATAAACATGGTATACGGTACCAGAAACAAGGTTTACTACCGTACATTAATCATAGATAAATTTTGTTCACCTCGCGACTAGAAGAGATAAAGCCCCTAAGAGCATCCGACTCTTGGACACTTAGTGCTGTTAGCTCCCTTTAAACTGTTCAAGCTTTTATCTTGTAGAATAAAAAGAACCCTTTCAAAAAGAAACGGGTTAAATCTGATGTCGTTTGATATAGATCCGTTAAAAGGAAGTGTCTTTTAGTCTTTTTTCTCCGACTAAAGAGCCGTGTGTATCGTCTGCAATTTTTCTTGATTGTTCTTGCAGCTAGCTATCGATAAGTGCAATGGGTACATGAGATTTTCCTTGCAGTATAGCAGCGTAGCGTTGATGTCAATACCCTGCTAAGCAACGTTCACTACACAATAGTATCACCTAAAGAACGGGTTCAATGCCTAGACCATAGATGTCATCGCCACCGATTTTGCTCGGATACACATCAATCTTTAGATGCTTTCCCTCGAGCCGCAAAACTTTTCAAATGTTTTCTTATCTTGATAGCAAACTTACATACATCACAGACTCGACAAAGTTAAGTATTCTGCTGAGAAGAAAACACATGCACGGCGCCCGTTAGAAAGCCTTCATTTACCCTTGATAGATCAGCCTTCTCTGGCGTATTTCAAGAAACATCGTCCTCCCCATTCTGAAAGCCAATAGTTTAGTAGATGCTAGCTAGAGTTTTTTCAGTGGTGGTGACCTTGCAATTGCGGATGATGATAATGCTGACGTTTTATGCCAAAAAGAAGGAAAAGGTGCGACAACTTTGATGCTCCTTATTTTCTTTTCTGCCTGATGCCCATCCTTGGTCATTTTTCTTTTCCAACCACGTCTGTGCATTTGTGCGTGTGTGACTTATACACTCTAAGTTGTCTTTGTAAAGTAATATTAAATCGAGTTCCATTTATGATGCTAATCAACCTATGAGGAGAGAAAGCGATCATGTGATAGTATGAGCTCGTCATATGGACGATGTGATCCCAACTTTACACCGGCGCCCCTACGACTTAATGAGGAGAAAGTACTACGATTCGGTGTGGATGTGTTACTTCTACATCTTGTGTATCCATAGGCAGGTAGGTTTGCACTCTTCTCTTTGGACCCGAGTTGATGCCGAACTTGACCGTGGTTAGGATTGGGGTCGATCACATGAAAGTCTTTGCTTGATCGAGGTGTTTCGAGGACTCAGGTAGAGTTTACTAGATATCCTCTGGGATTGGCTAGTCCAAAATCGATCCTTGATTCGCGAGCGTATTAATCATTTGAGCCGTCTCGCGATCTTGTATATGAAGCAATAAGATCCCTGCGTCCGATCACAGTTGGAAGGGGTGAGATTTCTTGTGCTCGGCCAAGTAAATTCGGGGTTGTATTGTTATTGACGTGATCAAAGTCATATAACGTCGAGAGGTGAAAACCCAAACCGGAAGCAGAACGACACGTGTTCATCTTAAATTAAACACAAACATTTCTAATGTTAACCTTACAAAACAACTATATCTACTCTTCCCCGTTTGTTTTGCGGTAGACGTCCAATCGGTGTCGTCATGCCGCATGTATTTTCAATCTTCCCTTATGAGGTGACATAGGCCAGATCGGGGTGTGCTATAGTAGCGCTTGATCGTCACCCAGATAGAGGTAAACAATCGATGATACTTGATTGCGGTGCCTTGATCATGAAGCTCGATCGTCTCACTTAATCACCGATCGTCTCACCTAGTCACTATATGTGATTATGATATGCGCTTCACACCACATACATACACGCAAAGGTACAAGTTCCTTTGGCGACCACGGTCCGGGATAGCATATTCATGCACGTTCATCTTCCATCTTAGCTGATAAGCTTTCTATGACCTTCATGTAGCATCCTCCTATCATCCACCTCTCAGAGTACAGTCCAGATCGATTAGCACCGATATAAGCTCATCAACATTCCTAATGCCGATCCCGATTCGGATCGCGTTTGAGTAGCTATCGAGTCATAGTCAGAAATCGTGATCGCGATTTTGTCTAATTAGCTACGAATCGTCGCCTTTATCAAAATTATCTCGGATAATTCGCGTGCAGCAGGGTCTCTCGTAAGGTGGCCAAAGACGATGGAAACCTACAAATGTTATGGAACTGTAAAGGCCCTCACTCCAAAACCGTCAAACAACTCTTGACTGATCCCTATCCTAAAGTGAACTATGTTCCTCACAGTTTTGACCTGCTTCACCCCACTACACTAGACCCAGAAGTATGTGTACGGTACAGCTAGCATTACTCAAAAAGAATATGACTGACTGGGGTTCGTCTATCACCTTACCCACACTCACATATAGGCTCATTCTATCTGGCTCGCAATCAAACTGATGATTTTGCACGTTAATTCTTTTGATAGATCGATCCTGAATCACCAATCTCAATCAGTTGACTGTTGAAGGTGTTACAAGTCCAGGGAGATAAATTGATTATTTAGTAGGTCTTTTGATAGTAGCTATCATTTCCGTTCCGTTGACACTAGCTAAAAGCGTTTGCGGCAAATCACAAGCGTATCGATGTTTAAAGCACGAAATTGAAGAAGTTTACGCATTTAAATTTGATTGAGATAGACTTGACTGCTAAGACCTATTACTTCTCCGAGTAATCCCCTCAACTTTTTATCACGAAAAGTCAAACGAAAAGGAAAAATATTTGATATGCACCAGCTTGGCTGCTGGGGCACAATTCTGAGGCAGCCAAAGTATGCGTCAAAATGTGCTTGCTTTGGCAGCACAGTAAAGCAATTGAGTTATAACCAATATCGCACATGCATTGATCATGTACGTGCAGCTTGATATACCCATTTAAAGGTAACTACTGTCGCTTTAAGGGATTGCTAAGTCGATATAGGGATATCTAGATAAAGCTGGTGTCACTTGTGCGTACAAATGACATTTCTGGCTAAACCTTATGATTGTTCAGTATCGTCTGCTAAGACCAGGGCTTGCGTATAAATGGAAGTACGCGCTCTAATTATTGTTAAGAATATACGACACCTGATGCGCAAGCTTGCTCGCAACTAATTACTGGGATAGTAATACTGAGTATGCGCTATGGACATATTTAATCCTGGTAGTATGCATAATGCCATATTTGAACTAACGCAAACAGCAGTCTGCACAAAATTTTTGTAGTTCACGTCACATTCAAGACGAAACAAGCTTCTTTGCCTGAGTATTTAAATGTGTCGTTTTCCGTGGTGAGGTAATTCACGAATTTTCGCATAATCAGAAGTGGTTTCCAGCGCAAAAACGCTTTTAATTTTATCGTTTAGAACAGCGTTGATAGCAAACTAGCAACCAGGGTACAATCCATTGTTCTTTCTATTGTATTAAACATGAAGTGACACCCCGTTGCACCAAATCGGGCGCTTTTTCTAGTTTATAAACCTTGAATTCTACTCTGTAAGAGACATTAAGCCCATTCAGTTTACCAATTCTAGCCCACATCAAGTCCACCTCATTAATAACTAAACTGTGCGAAGTCCATTAGTCTGATTAATATTGTTATAGCTCCCAGCAAAAGTTAAAAGTAAAAGTTTGCATCGTAAACAAAATGACGTCGTTGATGTATAAAACACGTGAACGACTCTTAAAAATGCCGCCATCAACCACCCAAAAATATTCTACAACCCCCCAACACCTACAATATATTAAACTATCAGATGAGTACCTTTTGATTGGCCGAATTAATACACTCTTCCGGCTGTTTTTACACAGGAAAGATTTCAAGGGTAAAGGGGAGTATTGAATAAATTAGTGTATACAAAAACTAGATTTGGCAAGAAAGGTATAAATATCAAGTACGACAAAGCATGTGAATAAAAGTAATTGACTTCCAAACGAAGTGCTAAATGTTTGTGAGGAAAACAATGCCTGCAGTATTTATGTGCAAACAGTGATATATTTGCCCAACAGTAGTAATATACTTTTTTTTAAAAAAAACAATTGCAGCCATTTATATAGAACTGTGCACGTATATTTGCTAAATCGACATCCCCATCTTTCCAGAATCGGACGCTAACAGCTGAGCGGGGTCGTGTTGGTTCGTGTAACGGGGTAACACAAATGGTTGTAATATCTATAGCAATCAGGTTTTCATAGAGGCGGCGTAGTTGTGTTGT